GAGAGAGAGAGAGAGAGAGAGGAGAAACACATGGACTGGGTGCCTCTCGCTCAAGCCCTGACCAGGGTCTCGGTTGGAAACTGCCACCAAGATATGTGCCCTTGACCAGCAGTCGCACTCACCGGCTATGGGTATTAGAAGGTAATTTACCAAAACTTTGGTCTCTGCATTCATTAGGGACAATCTCTCACAATAAGTCATTGGCAGGAATGATGAAAAGCACCGAGACCGGCTAAATAAAAACCACCTTTGACCCAATTCATCGGGCCCTGTGCAAACTGGATGTTTCTACTGAATCACAACAGGGAGTTCCAATGGGGGATTATTGTTCTTATCCCAAATCTTAATGATGGCTCCTAACAGTAGGAACAATGTGGCCTCACACTTTGTACTGTCTCAGCTGTTACTCTTTTGGACAGAGGCACCTGCCCTGGCAATGTTTAAACAGCACCATTTTCTTTAATGGAGATGATGAGAGTAGGGAATTACAATTTGTCAAGGGATGTATGCCCACTGTTTAAAAGCAACCACCAGAAGTTCTTCTATTCCTAACTAATTTAACAATAGTATTCAGTTGGTCTCTTAGGGAAACTTGTGTTTTTATACGTGTCTCATAGTTTTTGACTTCAAGCATTGGTGTTAAGTGTAGCTATACTATGAAGTGAAAACTATGATATGTAGACTGGACTGCAATGGGAATATGAAAATATAATAGATATAGCAGATTAAAGTGATAGAAAAACATATATTAAAGTATAAATTTATTGATTTCAGAGAGGAAGGGAGAGGGAGTTAGAAACATCAATGATGAGAGAGAATCATTGATAGACTCCCTCCTTCACCTCCACTTTCCCACTGGGGATCAAGCTCGCAACCTGGATATGTGCCCTAAGCAGCGATCAAACCCTGACCCCCTGCTTCAGAGGTCATGCTCAACCCCGGAGCCACATCGACCAGGAAAAATAAACATATTTAAGGGTCATTTGAGGTTCATGTTGATTAACATCACTCACTGCAGACAGCAGACATATTTTAGCTAACACTGTGTCTTCAGTGGTTCTCAAACTGTCGGTCGCGGCCCCTTTGGGGGTCGAACGACCCTTTCACAGGGGTTGCCTAAGACCATTGAGAAAACACATCTATAATTACATATTGTTTTTGTGATTCATCACTATGCTTTAATTATGTTCAATTTGTAACAATGAAATTGGGGGTCACCACAACATGAGGAACTGTATTAAAGGGTTGCGGCATTAGGAAGGTTGAGAACCACTGGGCTAGGTGGTCACATATGTTCTCTATTAGTTATAATATAATGGCTGCTAATATACATGTGAGGACAGGGTGCTCATTTCAATGCCCTGTGCTCTTTGGAATTAAATGACATTCACGGATTCTCATGTCTTTGATGGTTTTCATGTGATTTCTGCATAACACACCTGTCCTTTTACTTTTCAGAAATGACATGTGACCCTCCAAGAATTGCAAACAGTCACTTTGTAGCTGACAGGAACAAATATGACCTGGGAGACACAATCACATACTACTGCAAAGGTGGCTTCTTCTCTTCCATTCGAAGAAATACTGCAACATGTACTGACAAAGGCTGGGATCCTCCTCCAAGATGTAGCTGTAAGTTCCCTCCATATCTTCACCCGCTTCTTAATTCTGCAATTACTTCTCTTAAACTTAAAAACACAGGGGATCTGCATTGCCGGAGTGGCTCAGTGATTTAGTATCGACTTTGAACCAGGAGGTCACCATTCGATTCCCCAACAGGGGGCATGTCCGGGTTGTGAGCTGATCCCCAGTGTGGGGCATGCAGGAGGCAGCTGATCCATGATTCTCTCTGTTCATTAATGTTTCTCTCTCTCCCTCTCCCCCCCTCCCTCCTTCCCTTCCTCCCTCCCTCCCTCTCCCTTCCTCTCTGAAGTTGATAAAAAATAAATGAAAACTAAAGTCCAAATCTTTGCCTCAATGAGAAGGTAACGCAGAGGCTCAAGGCAGTCTTTTGATTTCCAAAGTCTCCAATTCTAAGAACAAAAACCACATTTTTGTTAATAAAAACTTTTAATTTTTTGCTAATCAATGTTAAATATGTGTATGTGTATGTATGAATATATTTTTCTCCCACTAATATTCTAATATGTGAATTAGATCACTGGGTAGCAACACTACCAGTCAACACCTAGTACATGAGATATTGGTGTCTGTGTAACAAACGCCCCCGAACATAGGGCCTCAGACAACAGTCCCCTAAGTGTCAGTGTCCGGGGGTCAGGATTTGGGAGCCGCTTGCTGCCTGGTTCTGGGTCCTCCCTGCTGCTCCCTGGGATGCTGCCCAGGGCGAGTGCAGGAGCCTCCGCAGCCGTCCACCTGGGCGTCTCCATCGGCAGCCTGAGGGCAGGTCACCCTCCCCAGAGCGATGACCTGAGGGCCCTGGAGGCGCCTCCAGAGCATTGATTACCTGGTCACACATGGTCCCCTCAGCCACGTGACCTCTTCAGTAGAGCGCCCCTCAGTCCAGCCTCACTCAAGGGAGGGGCACGGGCTCCCTTGTATGAGGGGATGAATGTGGGAGACATTGTGCACTTTCTAAAGCCCCACCTGTCACACACGCCCCTCAGTCCACAGGGCACTTCATTCCTGGGGGGCTGCCCCTTTTCCAGTGTTTTCTGTCTCTACAATCTCATTGCTGCTCCTTGTGTATCAGCTCATTGGAAAATGGGCCCGCACTTAAGCTGGATCTTCCATGGGTGAAAAATGAAATGATACACATAACAGGTCAATGGGCTCAGGGTTCATTCAAGGCCACGGCCAAATGAATGTGGACAGTCAGGTGCCTTAAAGAGGAGGCCATGACCACCGTGACACCGGCCTCAGTGTCCATAACAATGACAGGGAGAGTGATGGTTTATGCAGATAACATTGACCTACAGTGTTGTGTTACTTTCAGGTGTTCACTATAATGATTCCATATTTGTATATAATGTGAAATGATCAGAGAACATGTATTACTCACATCATCTGAAGATTATAACTTTTCTTGTCCTAGAAAGCCTAATGCAATGACTATAATTCTGGGCACATGAGAGTATAATTCATCAATAGGAACAAGGTATCTCTCATTACATTTTTATTAAGGCAAAATAATACTTATACTGTGTTTTGTTTGTTTTACTTGCTAGTTAAGCCCTGTGACTTTCCAGAAATAAAACATGGACGCCTAATTTTGGAAGACATGTATAGATCACACTTCCCTGTATCGGTAGGACAAAGGTTTCACTATTCCTGTGATGACAACTATGTGACTCCTTCACAAGAGAAGTGGGATTCCATGACTTGCACACGAGATGGCTGGTCCCCGGAAGTGCCCTGCCGCAGTGAGTGACCCTCTCTGTCCTGTGCCCGTGGCCATAGTCCAGAGTGGAGAAAGCAAACATGAGCTCCCTAAGCCTGTGGGGAAAGTAGGTGGAGGATGAGTCTCTGAGCAGAAAGACCAATACTGGATTTCTCTGTCCTCAAGGGTCTTCATTAACAGCACGAGAAATACATTCTACAAGACTACCTATAGCATGTATAAATATTTCAATTATGGAAATTACAGATAAATGCCAATTCATAAGGATTCTAAAAACATTTGGTAGCAGCTATAGTCTTTCTTTAGTTATGTGCTGCTTTTGGATGCTTATGGATTCTAATTTAAATATTATGAAGATAGTTTTTAATTTTATTTTGACCCATTTATGTGTTTTTTTAATCATCATTTTATAATTCCCAGGGAAATGCATTTTCAATTATTTGGAAAATGGACATCGTCCCAATTCTGAACAAACATATTTGCAGGGCGAATCTGTAAGTGTTCATTGTTATCCTGGCTACACACTTCAAAACCAACAGGCCACAATGACCTGTACGGAGAATGGCTGGCTCCCTCCTCCCAGATGCATCCGTGTCGGTAAGAAAACTGGTCTTGAAGCATAGTAACCTCCCTCTTGTATAAAAAACCTCTGTTTGAAACTCTCTGCTATTGTTAGATAGGCCCTAGCCCTATAAACTCTTTCATTGTAAACTCTGTCACTTTAAGACAGTCCTTATTCTATAAAAGGACTTTGTTTTTAGTTCAACTAATAGAAAAAGATAAACAACTGTCTGACCTTGCAAGCTAGCCATCTAATGTAATAGACTAATATAGACTAATACTGATAATAAATCCCATACTCTTATGCCAAGTACTAACTCATTATGTATTCAAGCTTACAACTGTCTGTAACAATGATCCACACAGAGCTCTTGGTGAAATCTGAAAACAAAGAGGCTCAAAAAGTATAAATATGGGAAATTTACTGTATGTGTTGTTCAGAGATTTGGAAAAGAGACACGTCCCTCTGGGCCGTGCATGCGCAATAAATGACTCCTAATTAATTGGCTCAATTAATTGGCTCATCAAAGCATCTTGTATCTCATTCCCTGATTTACGATACAACAGTCTAAGATCCAGTCTGCTTGTGATTGTGTAAGACTCACCTGTAATAACTGTGGCAAAAAGTTTCTATGAGCTTCCTATTTTGCCGATGGCCCTAGTTGGTTTTATTTTTTCAAGTGTGTATGAGTGGAAACGCCAATTTCTTGATATATCAATAGCAAAATAAAGAAGCCTACTGGTAGACATTAATTTTAAAAAAACAATAGCAAAAGACCACAAAGAGCAAAACAGTAGGAACAATGTGTCCTCACACTTTGTACAGTCTCAGCTGTCACTCTTTTGGACAGAGGCACCTGCCCTGGCAATGTTTTAACAGCACCATTTACTTTCATGGAGATGATGAGAGTAGGGAATTACAATTTGTCAAGGGATTTATGCCCACTGCTTGAAAGCAACCACCAGAAGTTCTTCTATTCCTAACTAATTTAACAAGATTCTCCCAATAGTATTTGGTTGATCTCTTAGGGAAACGTGTGTTTTTATATACTCGTATGTCTTGGAGAATTTGACTCCAAACATTGGTGTTAAGTGTAGCTATACTGTGAAGTGAAAACTAAGATAGGTAGACTGGACTGCAATGGAAATATGAAAGTATGATAAATATAGCAGATTAAAGTGAGAGGAAAAAATAAACATTTTAAATATATATTTATTGATTTCAGAGATGAAGGGAGAAGGAGAGAGAAAGAGGGAGAGAGACATCAATGATGAGAATCATTGATAGGCTACTTCCTGCACGCCCCACACTAGGGTTCAAGGTCTGACCCAGGCATATGCCCTGACCAGGAATCCAACCATGACCTCCTGGTTTATGGGTCAGTACTCAACCGCTGAGCCTCACTGGCCAGGCAAAAAATAAACGTATTTAAGGTTCATTTGAGGTTAGTGCCGATTAACATCAAGTACTGGAGACATATTTTACTGAACACTTGTGTCTAGGTGATCATATATATTCTCTACTGTTTCTGTATAATTGTTGCTAATATATATGTAAGGACAGGGTGCTCACTTGAATGCCACTTTGCTCTTTGGAAAGTACAAAAACGTGACATTCGCTTTATTCTCATGTCCTTGATGATTTCCATGTGATTTCTGCTTAATAGACATGTCCTTTTTCTTTTCAGAAAAGACATGTGACCCGCCAAGAATTGCAAACAGTCACTTCAGTGCTGACAGGAGCAAATACAGAGTGGGAGATTCAATCAGATACTCCTGTAAAAGTGGCTTTTACCCTCCTCCCCGGGGAAATACGGCAAAATGTACGGACACAGGCTGGGATCCTCCTCCAAGATGTAGTAGCTGTAAGTTCCCTCCATATCGTCACCTGCTTCTTAATTCTGCAAATACTTCTCCTAAACTTAAAAATACAGGGGATGTGCCCGATTGGCATGGCTCAGTGGTTGAGCATCACCCTATGAACTAGGACAGTGATGGAGAACCTATCACACGCGTGTCAGAGGTGACACGCAAACTCATTTTTTTTGGTTGATTTTTCTTTGCTAAATGGCATTTAAATATATAAAATAAATATCAAAAATATAAGTCTTTGTTTTACTCTGGTTGCAAATATCAAAAAGTTTCTATATGTGACACGGGACCAGAGTTAAGTTAGGGTTTTTCAAAATGCTGGCATGTTGAGCTCAAAAGGTTCGCCATCACTGAACTAGGAGGTCACGGTTCTATTCCAAGTCAGGGCACTTGCCCAGGTTACAGGCTCCATCCCCAGTCAGGGGTGAGTAGGAGGCAGCTGATTGATGATTCTCTCTCATTATTATGTTTCTATCTCTCTTTCCCTCTCCCTTCTTCTCTGAGATCAACTAACAATAAAGGGAAGGTAATGCAGAGCCTTCAAGGCAGTCTTTGATTTCCAAAGTCACCAATTCTAATTAAGAACAAAACCACATTTTTGCTAAAAAAAAAAAAAAAACTTTTTATTTTTTGCTATTCAATGTTAAGTATGTGTATGTGTATGTATGAATATATATTTCTCTCACTAATATTCTAACGTGTGAATGAAAACATTGGGTAAGAACACTACCACTTAACACCAAGTATAATAGTAATTGGTTTCTGTATAACAAACGCCCCCGAACATATGACCTCAGACAACAGCCCCCTCTGTGTCAGCGTCGGCGGGTCAGGATTTGGGAGCCGCTTAGCTGCCTGGTTCTGGGTCCTCCCTGCTGCTCCCTGGGATGCTGCCCAGGGCGAGTGCAGGAGCCTCCGCAGCCGTCCACCTGGGCGTCTCCATCGGCGACCTGAGGGCAGGAACCCTCCCCAGAGCGATGACCTGAGGGCCCTGGAGGCGCCTCCAGAGCATTGATGACCTGGTCACACGGTCCCCTCAGCCACGTGACCTCTTCAGAAGAGCGCCCCTCAGTCCAGCCTCACTCAAGGGAGGGGCCCGGGGCTCCCTTGTATGAGGGGATGAATGTGGGAGACACTGTGCACTTTCTAAAGCCCCACCTGTCACACACACTCCTCAGTCCACAGGGCACTTCATTCCTGGGGGGCTGCCCCTTTTCCAGTGTTTTCTGTCTCTACAATCTCATTGCTGCTCCTTGTGTATCAGCTCATTGGAAAAGGGACCCCCACTTCAGCTGGATCTTCCAGGGATGGCAAATGAAATGACACACATAACAGGTCAATGGCTCAGGGTTCATTCAAGGCCAAGGCCAAATGAATGTGGGCAGTCAGGTGCCTTAAAGAGGAGGCCATGACCACCGTGACACAGGCCTCAGTGTGCATAACAATGACAAGGAGAGTGATGATTTATTTGGATAATATTGATCTACAGTGTTGTGTTACTTGCAGGTGTTCACTATAATGATTCTGTATTTGTATATATTGTGAAATGATCAAGGAACATGTATTATTCATATCATCTGAAAATGGTAACTTCTCTTGTCCTAGAAAGCCTAATGCAATGAGTGTTATTCTGGGCACATGAGAGTATAATTCATCAATAGGAACAAGGTATCTCTCATTACATTTTTATTAAGGCAAAACATTACTTATACTGTGTTTTGTTTGTTTTACTTGCTAGTTAAGCCCTGTGACTTTCCAGAAATAAAACATGGACGCCTAATTTTGGAAGACATGTATAGACCGTCCTTCCCAGTCTCGGTAGGACAATGGTTTCACTATTCCTGTGATGACAACTATGTGACTCCTTTACATGGCAAGTGGGATCGCATGACTTGCACACGAGATGGCTGGTCCCCGGAAGTGCCCTGCCGCAGTGAGTGACCCTCTCTGTCCTGTGCCCGTGGCCATAGTCCAGAGTGGAGAAAGCAAACATGAGCTCCCTAAGCCTGTGGGGAAAGTAGGTGGAGGATGAGTCTCTGAGCAGAAAGACCGATACTGGATTTCTCTTTCATCAAGGGTCTTCATTAACAGCACGAGAAATAGAAATAGATTCTACAAGCCTGTCCTTAGCATTTATACACATTTCAATTGTGGAAACTACAGATAAATACCATTTAATATAGATTGTAAAAACATTTGTAGCAACTGTAGTGTTTGTTAATTTATGTGCTGCTTTTGGATGCTTATACATCTAATTTAAATATTATAAAGTTAGTTTTAAATTTATTTTGACCCCATTTATGTGTTTTTTTAATCATCATTTTATAATTCTCAGGAATATGCATTTTCAATTATTTGGAAAATGGACATCGTCCACCATATGAACAGAACTATTTGCAGGGCACATCTGTAAGTGTTAGTTGCTTTCCTGGCTTCACGCTTCAAAACAAGCAGACCTCAATGACCTGTACGGAGAATGGCTGGCTCCCTCCTCCCAGATGCATCGGTGTTGGTAAGAAAACTGGTCTAAGATCCAGTCTGTTTGTGATTGTCTAAGACTCACCTGTAATAACTGTGGCAAAAGGTTTCTATCAGCTCCTTGTTTTGCCAATGGCCCTACTTGGTTTTATTTTTTCAAGTGTATATGATTGGAAACGCCAATCTTGGTGTATCAATAGCAAAATAAAGAAGCCTGTTGCTTGACATTTATATTTAAAAAGAAAAAGAAACAACAGCAAAGACCACAAAGAGCAAACCTGTAATAACCGTGTCATGCGCAAGATGGCAGATTAGGGGGTTCTGTCACAAAGAACAGAGATTCTGACAATCACCGTGCATGAGGCTGACAGTCACCCTGCATGAGGGCTCCGGGAACCAGTGAGAAGTTCACACACCGTGGAGCCAACAGGCTCTGAGAGCAACAACTTCACCCCGAGAGACTCCTCCCAGAGTGCTCCTCTTGAGCGTTTGAGGTTGGAGACCTCCAGTCCTACTGGCTTGATGTTCCGTGTTGGAAGACTAGGTTGTTCGGGTCAACGTGATCTAGTCAAGGATTGTTTTCATAGGATAAGGCCGATGTGGGAGCCTTTACACAGAAGAGTTTATTCAGGGTCTGGATGGAGAAGGCCTCTTCTAGTCTCTCTACTAAGTGATTGTGTTTAAGACCTGTTCCCATGTGACTGATTAATCTGAATGTTTCCAGTGCTGGGTGTGCCCTGGGATCTTGGAATTTGTTGTTTCCTGGCAGCTCTTTCCTCTGGTAGTTGTGCTCCGCCCATTCTCAGGGGGTTCCACCCTCGACTCTAGGGGGATGTAGTCACCAAAAATCTAGGATCACCGTGCAGGTTGGTAGAGGTCTCCCCCCCATTCCAGGGTTCTTTCCTCTCTGGTTATGGACATTCAGAGTGTGGCGGTGTCGGCCTCTTGGGGAACAACGCCTTTGTTTCTCCTGTTCAGTGGGACTGACATGTCTGCTTGGGTGTTCCCTTCCTGGGCTGTGATCTGGGAAATTCCCACCTTCCAACAAAGCCCTGGTGAGAATGGAGAGCCCATCAGTTGACCCTATGTCTCGGGAACCTTAGTTATGCACTGGCTGTGTCCATACGCCTCACAAGGTCATGTTCATAGATTTGGCTCCGTTTCCTCATTGTGTCTGTGGCTGGCACTCTCTTCATTGTTCCTTCCGTGTGTTTATCCATTTTAGTGCATAGTTTCAAGGAAGCACCGTTTGACTCTGTACATTCTCTTTAGTGTTTGGTTTCTAGTTGATTCCTGCTCACATGTTTCTGTTTTCCAGTTGGTTGTTCCTTTATCAGCATGAATGGGGTGTAACTGAAAATGGGGATTGCATATGTTTAATGCGGACAGCTTGCTATTTTGATATAAGCACACGTGGTGACATGACCACCAGATGGAGCTGCGTAGCGCATCCATCACCTCACATAGGTGCCATTGCTTCCCATGGGGTGAGAACACTTAAGCTCCACCCTCTTAGCTATACTGAACCCAATCAGGCACAGGAAAGGGCCTGTTGCTAGGAGAGTTCTGGGGGGCTGCGGGCTTCCAGATTCATGAGGCAAACTGATTTTTAATAATTTCTTACAAGGCATCCTGAGTGTTTTAAATCTGGCTTAGTTCCCCCAAATGTTTTTAATATCTAGGATTAACATTTTTGGAAACTCATAACCTATTTTCTCTGACACAATGCTTTGAATGATTAGGAATTTTCCAGGTTTTCATTGACAAATGGCCCTTATTTCTCATGTTGTAATGTTGTGCGAGTCCTTAGGAAACTGTTTCCTGACCATGTGCTTACCGTTTCCTTACGCTCTCCTCCTTTTAGAAACATGTTTAAAGTCAAAGGTAAAAATTGAGAATGGATTTATTGCTGAGCCTGAATCTACATATCTCTTAAATCAAAAAGTAAAATATAAGTGCAAACAAGATTATGTAACAGAAGATGGTCACACATCCGGGTATATTACATGTCTCCAGAATGGATGGTCAGCTCAACCCAGATGTGTTAGTAAGTCATTCATGACTGTCATGTCCGTTATTTTAATGACTGTTCAATGAACGTTTACTTTAACTGATTTCTTTTTTGTGGGGTGGTGGAAGCTGACATAGTTCTATTTGTAAAAGCTACATAAGAAATTTGTGAGAAAACATATGTAATTTCTTTTTCTCTTTTACAATGAATTACTGGTAGGGTAGACATGAGTCCATCATTCAGTTCAAGGTTTATCCCCCGTAAACCATCCTGCGATTTGCAAACTGCCTACGGGCCTGTGTGTATTCCGCTGTAAGCTCATCGTTTTGAGCTGAGATCCTGTCCTGTTTACCTGTTTGCAGGTGATCAGACTTTCCTCTCAGAGTCTCAGTTCCCAGACATAAAAGTTAGGTTTGTAAGTGAAATGTGGGCTCACAGGACACAGGTTAGAGGAAAGTCACTTGTGTGATTTATGTGTTCGGTGCTGCAGGGGAGCTCCTCTTCTGAGCAGCCACTTCCTCCAGGAAGCCCACAGGGATGTGCAATGAGTGGAGACTGTGAGATGCTCCTAGACACAACCAGCGTCGGCGGCAGGGAGGGAGCTCTCTGCTTTATGACCTCGAAGTTTATGAACATTCCCTAGACAGTTGGCTCATTCTGTCTTATTCATCCCAAAGCCATGCGGTGATAGTTTTCATTCACTTTAAGTGAAGGAGATATTTAAAATGTCCATTCCTATTGTTTTCATTGCTTTCCACTTCCATACGTACCATGGGAACCAGCCAGAGCAAAAATGATGTTGTATCCATATCAGACTCATTTTATATTAAATTGTGATCAACTATTCATTACAACACTCTTACTAGGAAAAGAAGAAATGTGCTTATTATTTTTATTATTAAAATGGTAGTTTATTTTTTAACACTTTAAGCTAGCTAGCTACACAATATATTTTAAATAAGAGGTAAATTATTTAAACGTTCATTAACACCACTCCAATATAGTGTTAGTGAAAATTGAGACCACATTTTAGCACTTAGCTTTCTTATACTAATTATAAATATAGAACTATCTTTACATTCGACTTTGAAAAGTATAAAAGAATATAGTAATTAAAAATATCTGAAAAATCTAAATCAGCATGTGAGCTATAAAAATTAGTATGTGTTAAAGGAGAATGTATGGAACGTTTAATTGTATAAAATGTTAAATTTTCTCTCACTGGTGAAAAATAATTTCTTAGTTGAACCAATTCATTTTTTTTCTGGCATATATGTCACAACTGCTAATAACTTTGGCATCTACACTCACAAAATGCTATTCTGCTTTGCCAAAAAGAAAAGTACAATGCACCTATTATGGCCTATTTTATTGCTAACACGGAATAAATGTCTAACGTTAATTGCATTGAGAAAAATGTTCTTAAAATAAAAGTTTTGGTGATTTAAGTGATGGTAAAACTGCTGTGTAGAAATACATGCTTTCTCATGAGAACCGATTTTAGGATAGTGATTTATCACTAGTATGCATAGATTACTTGTATATGATGCATAATTTATTAGCACATGCTAAGTGATAACGCTTTTTATTCTTGGGATGGAACTTATGAAATTTGATTGTCCATTCAATAATATTAGAAGTGAAATCTTCAATTCTATTATGCATTAGAATCTTGTGGTGTGCCAGTATTTGAGAATGCCAGAGCCAGAAGTGATGGCACGTGGTTTAAGGTCAATGACAGGTTGGAATATGAATGCCAGGATGGATATAAAAACCGAGATGGACACACTGTAGGCTCCATAGTGTGTGGTGACAATGGTTGGTCTGATACACCCACCTGTCAGGGTAAGTACTGATTTTCAGGATCATCGAAATAAACAAAATGTGTGTAAAGCATATCATTGTTTTGTTATCCTAAATGCAACCATTTATATTATGTAAACTTAGATACTCGTGACCCAGATGATGTGTTTTACAAGTTCCTCAGCAGTTTTCTCCAAAATTGGTTCTTGCCACCTCCCAGCTGAGTGTTCATTCCTGCAGGTCCTGAGAGGACTTCCTTATTTCCTGATGTGGACAGTTCTGAGGACAGTTACACGAATCCTGCGTGTCTGCCAGCCCGCTGTCTGTTTTCCGGGGTTAGAAATAGAACCTCCATCTGTGGGCACGTGGGTGGATGCACAGTATTCCAACTCATTTATTTGATGCCTCTCCGTATAGGCAACACCCAGCTACTTATTCTTGCATGACATATAAAGTTTACTTGGCACTGATTAATCATCTGTTCTCATTAAATTATTTACCCTTTTTATAGAAAGAGAATGCATCGTTCCCGATATAGAGCCGACCTTAATTGCTCAGCCCCAGAAAGAGAAATATGTCATTGGAGACGTGTTGAAATTCTTCTGCAGAAATAGACATAAACTTATTGGAGCAGACTCTCTTCAGTGCTACCACTTTGGATGGTCCCCTAGTCCTCCAACATGTAAAGGTGACTAATTTCTGACACCTGCTCAAACAAGAATTAGAATGTTGGATATCAACTGCCCTTTTCCTCTTAATTTTCTGTTGGCTCCAAGTGTGTCTATAACTCAGTGCATTAAGCCAGGAATGTGTGTTGGGTAGTAGATACCACCCACTTCCTTATTTAAGGAAGTAATCTTTAATTGCTTTTTGGACTATATACTGAAAATCTCCATAGATGGACATACTGTGTGATGCTGGAGTGACCTCTTCAGTCATAATTTTGCCATAACTTCCACCTGGTGTTGGACATTTCTATCAGCGTGGGTCTCACCTCAGTTTCCCTGAGAATTTCTAGACAATTTCAAGCCTCACAGAGTTAATTCAATGCCATATACAATATAACGAAGAGTTAAAATTTGTTGATGAAATGCTTGCCTCCAGTGATTTTTCCCCCAAAAAGTTTTGATGAAATGTTTCTGTGGAATGTGAATAGTTACACAATGATATTTGGTCATTGATTTGTGTACAGGTTTAGATCATTGAGAACAGCGGTGGGGGACCTTTTCTCTGCCAAGGGTCATTTGGATATTTATGACATCATTCTCAGATCATACAAAATTATCAACTTAAAAATTATCCTACTGTTATTGGTCAAACATTTATATACTCACCCTTAATGCCTTGGCAGGGCCAGACCAAATGGTTTCCAAGGCCTTTTATGGCCCTCGGGCCAGACGTTCCCCACCCCTGATCTAGAACATCGAATGTTTCCTAGGCTCACATATATGTCCAATGTGCTAGTTCTGTATCATAACAGAGCTGGGAGACATGAATCTGGTGTAAACACCATTCTTTCTCCTTCCTCAAAAGAATGCTATAATAAGTTAGACAATAAGTAATAGATTAAAGAAAAAATCACTTCATTTTACTGGATTTTCAGTTGTACAAGAGACACTTTAGCTTTAGTTATACAGTGTTTCTACCGTAGAGGAAGTACAGTCCTGTGATCAACCTCCTCGACTCCCCAACGGGACAGTGGCAGACACACCTAAAGGGGAATATGAACACGGTGAGGTGGTGGAGTATGTGTGCAACCCCAGGTTCCTGATGAAGGGTGCGAGGAAAATTCAGTGCGTTGATGGAGAGTGGACACCCTTGCCCGTGTGTGTTGGTAATGTATCCAAACTTTCAGTGGTGTTTCTGTTCATATCAAGACCTCACTTACATTTTAAAGTTGAATGTTTGTTTGTGGGATTTTCACAGCGGAGGACAGTACATGTGGAGACGTACCTGAGCTGGACCACGGCGAGGTCGTGTCCCCAGCACGGCCCCCCTATCACCATGGAGAGTCAGTAGAGTTCACTTGCAGAGAAGACTTTACAATGATTGGTCAGAGCTCAGTTACATGTATTAGGGGAACGTGGACCCAACCACCTCAGTGCATTGGTGAGAAGACACTTCTATAACTGACACTTAATAACATCGTGATTTTCCATTGTGAAACTCTACATGCAACCATATTTTTGAAAATGTCAGGTTGCAAATTATAATGAATCCAACATTCATTGTTTATAGTTCAATAGGATCTACAGAGGAAAAATAGAAACCAACAATAGAATTTTGTGTGTCTGTCCCTCATATAAACATCATTTAAACCTGTGAAGCTAAATTTTACTTAAAGACACATGATTGAAATTTTGTCCTTCAGTGTTTATTTTGTAAATTCCCATAAACCAGCCTTTCACCCTATCAAGACGTTTCTTTTCTGTGAATAAATAAATTCTTTCAGAAAACCAGCATCTTTCGACATACCACAGCCATCACACGTCCTTTTGACTCCAAATCTTCATTAGTTATCATCTCTTGAAGAAGACGATTAATTTTGTGTCCCTGAACACTCTAGACCCGTCCAAACAATAAGACTATTTCTCAAGCCTCTTGTCTGTTTTAAATTAACCCCCTTTACGTTAGTTTCTTTTTCAAGGTTGCATTACAAAATCATTACTTTTCTTTGGCCAATTACTTGACTTTTCTTTGTTCTGTTCATCCTCACTTGACTCTCATCATTTACAAATTATTAACAAAAACTACTTAAGATCTACACTGATAGGTCTTAACAAATTCAAAAAGGATTGCCACCTGCATTGCCTTTTTGAAATATGTAGCTCTGTATGAAAATTCCATAGTCAATATCTAAAACATATGGCAGCCAACATAAATATGTTATTATGGCATTATAATATTACTGTATTCTAGGATGATCTGGTGTATAAAATAGCTTCTCAAAGATTCTAAGAACATATATACAAAATGTGTTATGACTTAAAAACCAAATTTCTTATTCTGGTCTTAGGTGTTCGTGCCAAAGATATGCTGAAACATTCACAGTCTATACCCTACACCTATGATCAACTTTTCTTGTTAGTATAGACTAAAGTTATTTTAAATATATAATTAAACTAGGAAATTAATATATTCTATTTCCTCAGATAATTGTTTTCTTTTACCATTTGAAGACTATAGACTGAAAATAACGTAGAGATATGTGGCACCAAGAAAAATGGATGTGAAAATTTGCAGATTTCAAATGAGACCATATTTAGTCATGTATGACTCTTTCCTATGTAGCTCAGACAAAATGTGAACCCCAATGTCCTTGCAATCCCCAAAAGGCAACATGGCTTTAGGATGACTATTCTCTCTGAAATTTCAATACTGGACATAGGACTGTGTGTACAAACATCGTAGCCCACCTCATGCAACATGATCAGGAATAACTTTGCTGGTGGAATTTATGGACCTAAAGTCCTATTTCATTAGATCCTGGACTCCATAATTGTTGTGTTGGTTTGTTTTTTATTAGTTGCCTGGATTTTCATAATTGGTGTCTTCAATGGAATATTTTCATTTTACAGCAACAGTTGAACTCAAGACGTGTAAATTATCAAGGGCAATTGCCTATGAGACAAAGTTGTCAGATAGGATTGACTATGAGCATAATACGAAAATCAGGTTCACTTGTGGGAGGAAGTCAGAGCAGAAACACTCAGTCTGCATGAACGGAAAGTGGGAGCCCGAGGTGACCTGCACAGGTGAGCTCTTGTTTAGAACATTTCCAAACGGTGATTTTCCTTCCTGCCTTGTACATGGTGTCTCTTTGTGTCTTAACATTTTTTTATTAAGTCTGTATTATGACAATAATGTTGTAGCTGGAAAGTAATTTAGAAAATAACCAAAACACTGTTTCTGAATAGTAATTGTATCATGTGCATTGGTCAGCTATCAACAAACCGCCCGGCAGTGCGGTGGCTTTAAAGTCACATTGGGCAGTGGGTGTGCGCATTACTATTGGGATCCCATTGCTACCAAGTTCTTACCTTACAGATGTGCCTATGCCTATAACGCGTGTATTTATCTAAGCATCTATGAGTGTGCACATCTATCTACAGATCAATCTATGTCTGCATCCATCTACCTCTAAAGGAATCTACCCATCTAGTCATCTGTCTTTGCCCATTTATCTGTCTGGCAAACACTGAGTCTTATTGCCACCACCAATTTCAATAACACAGGGTTCATCCCATTTTTCATATCTGTATTGCTCTTCTTTAACAGGAGGGCACCTTGACCCACTCACCTCAATATATTTACCAATTTCCATGGGCCTAGAATATACAGAAAGCATTTTAAATAAGCTAAGCTACCCAAGACTGATCACAGAATGAATAAAGGAAAGAACCTACAAGGAAGGCCATGAGAATATAAACCCAATGAGGTATATTAGAGTGACAAACAAGATGGAAAGTATAACATATTTAAACACAGAACAGAGCATTATATTTTGATTTTCCAGGTGCATTATTATTGATCATTTTATTCACTGAGTTGTTATTTTAATATTTGACTTATGATTTTTCATCAAGAAATTTGATTTTAATATTTTTAGAAGCACCACGATGTCCACCTCCACCTCAGATTCCCAATTCTCAACATATGACCCTCTCAGTGAATTATCAAGAAGGAGAAAAAATATCTATTCTCTGTCAAGAAAACTTTCTAATCCAGGAAGGAGAGGAAATCGTGTGCCAGGATGGACGATGGCAGTCAATACCGCGCTGTGTCGGTCAGTAGTGGGTCACTTGCGTTACACTGTCTCTCAGATGAGGGTAACCCACAGCCCTGCTTTGTGAAAAGGAACAAGATCACCCCTCTCCCCTATCCATCCCACTTTATCTCCAAACAGTACACACCATCCAGGTGCCGAAATCCATCAGCATTATTTCCCTTCTAATGTGAAATCAATGCAAACAGAAACTTCCGGTGACTATGCGTATGTCACTCCTCAAGACAAACAGGAAGAGACTGAAGATGCATATGGGACACATGGACAGTAGCATCAATTTAATGGGCACATATATCTTTGCAAGTTTCAAATACTTTTAGTTATTAATAATTTAATTGGTTCCAATGTCCCTAGTTTAAAATCCCAAACAGTGTTGGATTTTATTTTTCAATTTAAACATTATCTTTGTGCTTCACCCTTTAATCTCTATTTTTCATATAGAAAAAACTCCATGTTCTCAACCACCTCATGTAGAACATGGCAGCATTATTTCATCCAGATCTTCAGAAGATGAAAGAGAAACATTGGGACCCGAGCTATATGCGCATGGCACCACATTAAGTTACATTTGTAAGGATGGTTTCAAATTATCCAAAGAAGATGGGATAACATGCCACCTGGGAACGTGGAGTGCTCCACCACAGTGTGTAGGTGAGGACAGCATGCACACTAAAGTTCTGTTTTGGTGCAGTTCAGTAAGATAATCCATCATCATCATCAAAGCCATGAGAAATAACTCTTTATATTTATAAACGTATAAAAGCATTATATTTCGTTTATATAGATTTTAATATTTTACCAAATTATTTTTGCATAAACAAATCATGCCTATTTTTATGAATTTTATTTGCTCATTATGATATCACTTGTAATTCGGGCATTTTTTCCTACAAAACCTGAAATATGGTGAAATGAAACCTAACTCTTCATATAAATTATACCTGTTCATAGTCCTACATATTCATATGGGTTGCAATGAAGGATTTGTCGTCAGGTTTTATAAAGATTTATGTTCTCTCTCCATTGTCCATTCTGATCTCTTACAATGGAGGGTACTTTTCTTAAGATGATTCTCAATGTGTTTCTTTTTATTGCTCTTAATTGGTTAGAGAACCATTGATACGCTCATTCTCAGATCTGTTCACAGTTTTCACTTCAAGTTCCTGCTCAAGCTGACAGCTGGACACACCACCATGCTGGTTTTAAAGCATTTGTGCGCCTTTTCTGTCATGTGATATTAGTGCCTGTGTTTTCATTTTATTTCAAATAAAATGAAAAATGACAATCAGGACATGAAATGAAGTTCAGATTCAGTGAAATACACATTCATTACTTTCCTTTCTTTCTTTCTTTTTTTTTTTAGGACTTCCTTGTGGACCACCCCCTGAGGTTTCAAATGCTGATCTATCTAACAGGTTAAACAGTTATCCACATGGGCAAAAATATACATACACCTGTAACAGAGGATTTCGGATCCGTGGACCTGCGTCTATAGAATGTTCAGGAGGAAGTTGGTCCCATCCACCAGAATGCACAAGTATAGTGTATTTCATTTTCTTCTAAGGCTGATGAATACCTTTAGTTCAGAACATTCATGGTACAACTACAAAACTGCATTAATTCTAGAAGGTATCTCTAGAAGTTCTGGATTCTACTAGAGAATTAATAGCAGAATTAATAGTAATATGAAAAGTTTGCCAACAGGAGCCAAGTTATTTCATTTGATGTCATCTGTGTTCACTTTCCATGTGTTCTGATGGGCATCCTCTGACTTCTCAACTCTTCCTGTATCACAGCTGGTCCCTGCTCACCAACCTCATCATTATTCAATTCACTGAGAGTTTATCAGTTGTCTCCTCATAAATCCATAATGTTCTAAGATGTTTGATGTAGCCAGGCCCACATGGCTCAGTGGTTGAGCATTGATCTATGAACCAGGAGGTCAGGGTTCCATTCCCAGTCAGGGCACATGCCTGGGTTGTGGGCTCAATCCCCATTGGGGGTCCTGGAGGAGGCAACTCATCAATGATTCCCTCTCATCATTGATGTTTCTGTCTGTTAATTCCTCTCCCTTCCTCTATGAAATCAATAAAAATATAGTTAGTTGAAGATGTTTGATGTAATTATGGGAAAAGATTTGGACAGAATCAAAAAAAATGGAAATGTGCACATAGTGTCTGTGCCCGTGTGGACAGACAAGAATTTGATTATAAGAAGTTTGGTCTCGGTCATGCCCGGTATGCCCATCTCCTCAGGCTTTCAATACCACCATGCCCACGTTTCACTTTTGATAAATGTAAAATTATCCAAATAAGTAAATCAAGGTGGCTAACCTTTTCAAGTTATAAGAAAAACAGTGTACAGTAGGCATTGGTTTGATGTGTACCTATTATTCTAAAGTATAATTATTGGCTGACATGTACTTTAAAAGATTTACTGAAAAGTCTATGTTCTTCCTTTTTCAGCAATGACTTGTCCTAGCCCACCCAGCTATGGCAATGCCATCCTCCTGGGCCGGAAGAAGAACTCATACAAGTCAGGAGAACAGGTGGCTTATAGATGTCCAGACTATTACCAAATGTATGGATCCAATGTTGTAGAGTGTAGGGACGGCATTTGGATAGGAACACCCACATGCAAAGGTATTTTGATGAATGGCTTCTGGCTTCATTAAAAAATAGACATAGGTTCTGGTGAGGCCAGATGAAGGAAGGTTTATGCCTCAACATAGAATAGTGGTTCTCAACCTGTGGGTCGTGACCTCTTTGGGGGTTGAACGACCCTTTCACAAGAGTTGCCTAAGACCATCGGAAAACACATATATCATTACATATTGTTTTTGTGATTCATCACTATGCTTTAATTATGTTCATTTTGTAACAATGAAAATACATCCTGTATATCAGATATTTACATTATGATTCATAACAGTAGCAACATTACAGTTATGAAGTAGCCACTAAAATAATTTTACGGTTGGGGGTCACCACAACATGAGGAACTGTATGAAAGGGTCACAGCATTAGGAAGGTTGAGCACCACTGACATAGAGGAATGGGATGTGCACTCAGTGCTGGGCATTGGGGCCTCAGAACCCTCAGAGTGTGACCCCGGAAACAGCCGTGTCAGCATCTCTGGGGAATCGGTAGAAAGGCAAATGCAAAGTCACAGGCTCACTCAGACTCAGCATCAGAAGCTCAGGGGTGTGACCCTGAAACTGTTGTAACAATTCCCAGCGGGCTCTATGCCCATTTTGTAGGGAACCGTAGCTTCAGCCTCTTATTACTTTATATCCACCCGAGTCTCCCCAATGACCTGCACAGTGCTCACTGCAGTGCCCTTAAGCACTCACATTATTGGAGTATTTTTAGGAAACTGTACATATATTGTACTCTTAGTTTTCCTCAATTTCTGTGTGGATATCTGAAATCATCATCTTCTTCTTTAGCCATGTGATATTCCTCAAAGCATGTCAATGCGTGACTCACTCTCTAAGAACCTGGCTACTCTGCTCATTTTCTAAGGGCCTGAAATCCCAATTCAAAATCATGATGTTTGGGAACCACATTTGGCTGCCAAATAATATGTTCATTGTGTGTGTCTTGTGTTTAAAAATTCACTTTAATTTTATATCTACATTTATTTTACTAAACTTAAAGGAAAATGTTCAGAAACCCCATCATCTTTTTTACTTTTAAAAAAGTTTTTAAATTTTTATTGAATTTATTGGGCTGCCATTGTTTAATAAATGGTGCTGGTATAAATGGACAGACACAAGCAAAAAAATGATATTTTACCACTGTCTTATACCTTACACAAGAATAATCTCAAAATGGATTAAAGACGTAAATGCAAGATTCAAAAACCATAAAAATCCTAGAAGAAATAACATGGGCAGTAAAATCTTAGACATTTCTCATAGCAATATTTATTTTCTGATATATCTCCTCAGGCAAGCAAAACAAAAGAAAAAAATAAACAAATAGGACTACATCAAACTCAAAAGTTTTGCACAGCATAATCATCATTTTCATTGCACAAAAAATCTCTATTAACCTTTCAGAGAGGATGAAAAGAAACTTAAGATATAGAAGATTGCCTCTTACCAAAAAAGAATTGCTTTATCTTTTTTCAATCTTGCATGTAAATTTGTGAAGATTTTCAGCCTCAATTGCATCTAAATGATCGCTGCATTAGAGATCCATTTTTTTCTCTTTATTCAGATGTCTCCTGTGGCAGCCCTCCCACAGTGCAAAATGCCTTTATACCAAACCAGAAGCTTAGGTATCGACATGGGGACACAGAACGTTATGAATGCAGGCACTTTTTGGGCCTCTTCGGGAATGCAGAAGTGACATGTCTAAGTGGGAAGTGGACAGACCCACCTGAGTGCAAGGGTAGGTGTCTCATTCTCCCCTCCCAGTCTCTGTGCAGCCTCTGTAAGCACTTGGTTACTAGACTCCTGTCCAGCTGGCCTTCATTTGGTTACTCAGGTTTGTTGCTCTATCGTTTCCTGTAAATCGGTTTGGGGCCGGAAGGAGGTGAGTGTAGCTCCCACCTACTCCGCAGCTCCCTTAAAATCAACTGCTCACTCAATAAACCAACAATATCCTCTCTTAGAGTCCACAGGACGATGTGGGCGCCCTCCTGCTATTGACAATGGAGACATTACCACGTATCCATTAGCAGTCTACGCTCCCGGGTCTTCAGTGGAGTATCAATGCCAGGCCTACTATGAACTTGAGGGAAACAGGAGAATAACGTGCCGTGATGGACAGTGGTCTGAGCCACCCAAATGCTTAGGTAAGTCCTTTAATATCCCCGTGGACCCTGGGAAATCCGTGTAATGAATGTCATGTTTGCTCTTTACAACAGAATTTGCATGGACAATCACTCCTTCTATTGACAACCAAATAGTCATGTCTGAGGGTATAAATTCTGAAAAGTTCTTGAGCAACAACAGCAAGAAACAATTATTTTTCTTTATTTTAATTTATTTTCCCCATCACCACTTATGCCTCCTCCACCCTCATCCACCTCCACCACGCCCTTCAAGGATTCTTTAATGAAAGTCCTTCATAGCATAGGTGACATTGTGAATGTTGATTATAACATGTAATGATCACACATTCCACAGAGTACCTTGATTTTACATCACTGATAGTTTAAAATGTGCTTTACGAACATGATGGATTTTCATGAAGTGCTTTGGAAAGGGTCTGAGAATAAATTCTTGGATCTGTGTAGAATGTTCTACATAAAACTGTAAAATTCTGTGGAAAATATTTGTATACTACTTAAAGTTTTATGTCCCCCCCCTTTTTTTTTTTACCTCCAGGTGCCTGTGTAATATCAGAAGAAATCATGGAAGCACATAACATAGAATTGAGATATTCATATGCGAAAAAAATTTATTCCAGAACAAATGATTTCGTTGAATTTAGGTGTCGAGAAAATTATCGTAGAGTGTCACCAGCATCTGCATTCCGAGTACAATGTCATGACGGAAAAATGGAGTATCCCTCTTGTGGATAACATGAGAGCTGTGTGGCAGTTTTCACATTAAAATATGCGCCTCATTCAGAATGTTTTAATATTAATCTAATCCTTCTCAATTTATTTTTCTAGTTGGGTGTAACTCACTTGTACTCATTAATCACAATTCCTGTTAAATGCCATGTGGGTGATGTCATTGTAATCTGAGACCAACAGACCACTTATAAGCATCTCATTAAAATGTGACAAACCAAGATGCTACGTGTTCTGTTCATGAAACGACTCTGGCCAGAAATTAGATGCCATCTCTTCCCCCTCTGCTCCCCCCACCACCCTCTGGACTTTCTCAGCTTCTCCACAGCTGTGGGGGCGTTTTGAGACTCTTATTTCAGAGGAAAGGATAAAAAATGCTTGTCTCCATCTTCACCTTAAAGTCACTTCACAAACACGTCAAAACCAAACTGTGTCACACCCATGTTGGCAACAGACGGTAGAGGTTATTACTTAGTTTTGCTTATCTATCCATGGCTCACTATACCCCAAAATGATGAAGTGCAACATCTACCTATCCATCTAGCACATACAGTCATTCAAACATGTCATAAAGAAGATTATATTCTAACCAGGGGCCTAGCTATTTAACAGGGACTTGAAAGCTGATATAATATAGAGTATAGACAGGTGTCAGGAAGGGACAATAGAGTTCCCCAGGTGTGAATGAAGAAGCCCTGTGGCCCCAAATATGTGGCCAGTCCCATGTACTGCTCTTTGCTCAAAGCTTGCCAGGCTTCTGGCATTTCCCGCTCTTTCCCACTATATTTCAAAGGACATAAAAGCAATACGTTAGCCTCCTTTTCAACTTAATCTTCTCCCAAAGTTGTTAACGCAACTATATCATCACTTACACTTGTACCAAGACAATAATTCTTCACCGTCATGGGATTAGACTACTTGCCAATAGAGCAATAAACAGCATTGGAAGTAACGGTGTGGCTTTCTGCCTATTGAATCGGATGTTTAATCAGTCAAACAAAACACGTGAGCTTAGATATACTGTGGGAAATAGTACAATCAAAAATTATATGTTAAAATTGTCCTTGTGGTTCAGTGGTCAGAGTGTTGGTCCAAGGACTAAAGGGTCTGCGGGTCAAGTCCTGGTCAAGGGCATGGATCTGGGTTGCAGGTTTCATCCCTGTGCCAGTTGGGGCATGTGCAGGATGTGTCTCTCTCCCATTGATATTCTCTCTCTCTCTGTGTGTGTATCTCTCTCTCACTGCTTCTAAAAAGAAACAAAACATGAAAAAAAATTGAATGCAAACAATGTGCTGAAATTCTTGGACTTCTGAGGTGTTGTCTATTGTGAGTTTACAATAAAAATCAGTGCTTTCCCACAGACAGGAATGTACGCTGTGTCCATAGACCCCTAAGCACTGCACTCGGGTGAGAGAAAGTCACAGGGATACGCAGGCAGAGCTATTCCCGTGTGAATCTCCTGGTTGAGGAAGAACCTCACCGATTCTCAAGAATTGTTAAAGATTAGAGTTTCATATCACTCTTGGATCCAGGTTTCAACTTATGTAAGGAAAGTGGCACAAATACATATCACGCAAGTAACTCAAGAAATGATTATGAAATCCTTCATGTAAATACACAGATATTGCAAAACTCTTTGAACTTTGATATCTACCCAGTGACCCCAGTCAACCAGCTTCCTGGTAATTTCACTTAAATCCAGAGCCACACGTGGTAACTGCAGCAGATTTAAACCCCAAACAGCAGCGCTGGACTCTCTGTGCTAACACACCCGGGGAGCCCGCCATGCTGTTACTAGTCACGGTCATCCTCACCCTGTGGGTCTCCTGGGCTCGTGGACAAGGTGAGTTGAAACTGACGGGAATATTTAGCTCCTTCTTAAGTAGGACTTTGCCCTTTTTCATTTGTTTTTGCTTTTAAAAAAAATCCTCACCGAGGGTATTTTTTCCCATTGATCTTTAGAGAAAGAGTGCAAGGGAGGGAGAAAAAAAAGAGAGAGAGAGAGAGAGAGAGAGAGAGAGAGAGAGAGAGGAGAAACACATGGACTGGGTGCCTCTCACACAAGCCCTGACCAGGGCCCTGGATGGAAACTGCCACCAAGACATATGCCCTCGCCGAATCCGGTTTGGCTCAGTGGATAGAGCGTCGGCCTGCGGACTGAAAGTTCCCGGGTTCGATTCCGGTCAAGGGCATGTACCTTCGTTGCGGGTATATCCCCGGTGGGAGATGTGCAGGAGGCAGCTGATCGATGTTTCTCTCTCATCGATGTTTCTAACTCTCTATCTCTCTCCCTTCCTCTCTGTAAAAAATCAATAAAATATATTTTTTAAAAAAAGACATATGCCCTTGACCAGGAGTCCAGCCCACCAGCTAGGGCTATTTGAGGGTAATTTACCAACACTTTGGTCTCTGCATTCATTAGGGACAATCTCTCACAATAAGTCATTGGCAGGAATGATGAAAAGCACCGAGACCGGCTAAATAAAAACCACCTTTGGCCCAATTCATCCGTCCCTGTGCAAACTGGATGTTTTTACTGATTCACAACAGGGAGTGCCAATGTGGGATTATTATTCCAAATTTTAATGATGGCTCCTAACAGTAGGAACAATGTGGCCTCACACTTTGTACAGTCTCAGCTGTTACTATTTTGGACAGAGGCACCGGCCCTGGCAATGTTTTAACAGCACCATTTACTTTCATGGAGATGATGAGAGTAGGGAATTACAATTTGTCAAGGGATGTATGCCCACTGCTTGAAAGCACCCACTAGAAGTTCTTCTATTCTTAATTAATCTAACAAAATTCTCCCAATAGTATTTGGTTTGTCTCTTAGGGAAACGTGTGTTTTTATATACGTATCAGAGCTTTGGACTTCAAGCATTGGTGTTAAGCGTAGATAAGAGTAGGTAAAGCAGAGGCTCAGGGCAGGCTTTGATTTCCAAACTCTCCAATTCTAAGATCAAAACCACATTTTTGTTAATAAAACTTTTAATTTTTTGCTAATCAGTGTTAAATATGTGTATGTGTATGTGTTAATATATGTTTCTCTCACTAATATTCTAATATGTGAATTAGATCACTGGGTAAGAGCACTACCAGTCAACACCTAGTACATGAGATATTGATGTCCGTGTAACAAACGCCCCTGAACATAGGGTCTCAGACAACAGCCCCCTCTGTGTCAGCGTTGGTGGGTCAGGATTTGGGAGCCGCTTAGCTGTCTGGTTCTAGGTCCTCCCTGCTGCTCCCTGGGATGCTGCCCAGGGCGAGTGCAGGAGCCTCCACAGCCGTCCACCTGGGCGTCTCCATCGGCGGCCTGAGGGCAGGAACCCTCCCCAGAGCGATGACCTGAGGGCCCTGGAGGCGCCTCCAGAGCATCGATGACCTGGTCACATGGTCCCCTCAGCCACGTGACCTCTTCAGAAGAGCGCCCCTCAGTCCAGCCTCACTCAAGGGAGGGGCCCGGGGCTCCCTTGTAGGAGGGGATGAATGTGGGAGACATTGAGCACTTTCTAAAGCCCCACCTGTCACACACGCCCCTCAGTCCACAGGGCACTTCATTCCTGGGGGGCGGCCCCTTTTCCAGTGTTTTCTGTCTCTACAATCTCATTGCTGCTCCTTGGAGATCAGTTCATTGGAAAAGGGGCCCGCACTTAAGCTGGATCTTCCATGGGTGACAAATGAAATGATACACATAACAGGTCAATGGCTCAGGGTTCATTCAAGGCCAAGGCCAAATGAATGTGGACAGTCAGGTGCCTTAAAGAGGAGGCCATGACCACCGTGACACAGGCCTCAGTGTGCATGACAATGACAGGGAGAGTGATGATTTATGTAGATAACATTGACCTACAGTGTTGTGTTACTTTCAGGTGTTCACTATAATGATTCCGTGTTTGTATATATTGTGAAATGATCAGGGAACAAGTGTTATTCACATCATCTGAAGATGATAACTTCTCTTGTCCTAGAAAGCCTAATGCAATGAGTGTAATTATGGGCATATGAGGGTATAATTCATCAATGAAACAAGGTATCTCTCATTACATTTTTATTAAGGTAAAACATTATTTATACTGTGTTTTGTTTGTTTCACTTGCTAGTTAAGCCCTGTGACTTTCCAGAAATAAAACATGGGGGCCTACATAGGGAAGAAACGTATAGACCATACTTCCCAGTATCGGTAGGAAAATGGTTTCACTATTACTGTTATGACAACTATGTGACTCCTTCACAAGACAAGTGGGATTACATTACTTGCACACGAGATGGCTGGTCCCCGGAAGTGCCCTGGCGCTGTGAGTGAACCTCTCTGTCCTGTGCCCGTGGCCATAGTCCAGAGTGGAGAGAGCAAACGTGAGCTCCCTAAGCCTGTGGGGAAAGTAGGTGGAGGATGAGTCTCTGAGCAGAAAGACCGATACTGGATTTCTCTGTCATCAAGGGTCTTCATTAACAGCATGAGACATAGAAATAGATTCTACAAGCCTGTCCTTAGCATTTATACATATTTCAGTTGTGGAAACTACAGATAAATACTATTTCATGTTGATTTAAAAACATTTGGTAGCAGCTATAGTCTTTCTTAAGTCATGTGCTCTTTTTGAATGCTTATGGATTCTCATTTAAATGTTGTAAAGATAGTTTTTAATTTGTTATTTTGATCAAATTTTTGTGTTTTTTCTTTTATCATCATCTCATAATTCTCAGGAATATGCATTTTCAATGATTTGGAAAATGGGCATCGTCCACGATATGAACTAAAATATTTGCAGGGCACATCTGTAAAAGTTAATTGCTATCCTGGCTACATGCTTCCAAACAAGCAGACCTCAATGACCTGTACAGAGAATGGCTGGCGCCCTCCTCCCAGGTGCATCCGTGTCGGTAAGAAAACTGGTCTAAGATCCAGTCTGTTTGTGTTTGTCTAAGACTCACCTGTAATGACTGTGGCAAAAGGTTTCTATCAGCTCCTTGTTTTGCCAATGGCCATACTTGGTTTTATTTTTTCAAGTGTGTATGAGTGGAAACGCCCTTTCTTTTCTTTTCTTTTTCTTTTTTTCCTCGCTCTTTTATTCTTTATTGAAAAACATTTTTAAGGTTCATTATAATTAAATGTTCAGACATTTCTATATTATTTGCTCACCCCCAGGAGACCACTAAATGAAAACCACACTTAGACTCTTTCAAAAGCCAAATGTGAATATTGAACTCTGTTGCCCATATTTCAGTGTCCAGATTAAAATTCATAGAAATGAAATGAAAATACAATAGGCAAGAATTTATGTCTGCTAGGGTGTTAGGCCACACATTTTCTGAATGACAGGAAAGGGAAGCTCTGATCGCCTTCCCTGAACTTATCCACACGTATCCACACTATCTATTATTCTGTTACTAATGACTCATATTTCCTCTTGAAGTGATGGCTGCTTTTTGGCATATATGTGGCACATGCTTTGGGGTAGGAAAGGCTATAAAAGAGGCCAGATCTTGCTGGTTTCTGTTCCAGAGAATATGTTGAACATTTCTTTTCCTTCTTCTTCTTCTCCTTCTCCTCCTCCTCCTCCTCCTCCTCCTCCTCCTCCTCCTTCTCCTTCCCCTCCACCTCCCCCTCCCCTCCTCCCCTCCTCCTTTTTATTCTGTTAATATTGCAGAACAGGTTTCCTTTGGGCTTCGTCAGCCTTTGCTATCTTGGCAACAGTTTCCACTAATGCTTATTTTTCAATGGATAAGGCTGGTATGGGAGCCTTTACACAGAAGAGTTTATTCAGGGTCTGGATGCAGAAGGCCTCTTCTAGTCTCTCTAGTGATTGTGTTTAAAGACCTGTTCCCATGTGACTGATTAATCTGAATGTTTCCAGTGCTGGGTGTGCCCTGGGATCTTGGAATTGTTGTTTCCTGGCAGATCTTTCCTCTGGTAGTTGTTCTCTGCCCATTCTCAGGGGGTTCCGCCCTCCACTCCAGGGGGATGTAGTCACCAAAGAATCTAGGATCGCCATGCAGGTTGGTAGAGCTCTCTCCCCCATTCCAGGGCTCTTTCCTCTCTGGTTATGAACATTCAGAGTCTGGCGGTGTCGGCCCCTTTGGGAACAGCGCCTTCGTTTCTCCTGTTCAGTAGGACTGACACATGTGCTTGGGTTTTCCCTTCCTGTGCTGTGATCTGGGAAGTTCCCACCTCCCAGCAAAGCCCTGGTGAGAATGGAGAGCCCATCGGTGACCCTATGTCTCGGGAACCATAGTTAGGCACTGGCTGTGTCCATTTGCCTCACAAGGTCATGTTCATAGGTTTGGCTCCGTTTCCTCATTGTGTCTGTGTGGCTGGCACTCTCTTCTTTGTTCTTTCTGTGTGTTTATCCATTTTAGTGCATAGTTTCAAGGAAGCACCTTTAGACTCAGTACATTCTCTCTAGTGTTTGGTTTCTAGTTGATTCCTGCTCAGATGTTTCTGTTTTCCAGTTGGTTTTCCTTTATCAGCACGAATGGGGTGTAATTGAAAATGGGAATTGCATATGTTTAATGCAGACAGCTTGCTATTTTGATATAAGCACACGTGGTGACATGACCACCAGATGGAGCTGCGTAGCACATCCATCAGCTCACATAGGTACCATTGCTTCCCATGGGGTGAGAACACTTAAGCTCCACCCTCTTAGCAATACTGACACCCAATCAGGCCCAGGAAAGGGCCTGTTGCTAGGAGAGCTCTGGGGGCTTCCAGATTCATGAGGCAAACCGATTTCTAATAATTTCTTACAAGGCATCCGGAGTGTTTAAATCTGGCTTAGTCCTCCCAAATTTTTTAATATCTAGATTTAATATTTTTGGAAACTCATAATCTATTTTCTCCGACACAATGCTTTGGATGACTAGGAATTTACCAGGTTTTCATTAGCAAATGGCCCTTATTTCTTACATTGGAATGTGTGTGAGTCCTTAGGAAACTGTTTCCTGACCATATGCTTACCGTTTCCTTACGCTCTCCTCCTTTTAGAAACATGTTTAAAATCGGAGGCAAAAATTGAGAATGGATTTATTGCTCAGCCTGGATTTACATATCTCTTAAATCAAAAAGTAAAATATAAGTGCAAACAAGATTATGTAACGGAAGATGGTCAGACATCCGGGTCTATTACGTGTCTCCAGAATGGATGGTCAGCTCAACCCAGATGCATTAGTAAGTCATTCATGACCGTGGTGTCTGTTATTTTAATGGCTGTTGAAGGAATGTTTACTTTAACTGATTTCTTTTTTGTGGGGTGGTGGAAGCTGACATAGTTCTATTTGAAAAAGCTAAAAAAGAAATTTGTGAGAAAACATATGTAATTTCTTTTTCTCTTTTACAATGAATTACTGGTAGGGTAGACATGAGCCCATCATTCAGTTCAAGGTTTATCCCCGTAAACCATCCTGCGATTTGCAAACTGCCTACGGGCCTGTGTGGATTCCGCTGTAAGCTCATCCGCTTTGAGCTGAGGTCCTGTCCTGTCTACCTGTTTGCAGGTGATCACACTTTCCTCTCAGAGTCTCTGTTCTTAGACATAAAAGTTAGGTTTGTAAGTGAAATGTGGGCTCACAGGACACAGGTTAGAGGAATGTCACTTGTGTGATTTATGTGTTCGGTGCTGCAGGGGAGCTCCTCTTCTGAGCAGCCACTTCCTCCAGGAAGCCCACAGGGATGCGCAGTGAGTGGAGACTGTGAGATGCTCCTAGACCAGCCGTGGGCAAACTACGGCCCGCGGGCCGGATCCGGCCCGTTTGAAATGAATAAAACTAAAAAAAAAAAAAAAGACCGTACCCTTTTATGTAATGATGTTTACTTTGAATTTATATTAGTTCACACAAACACTCCATCCATGCTTTTGTTCCGGCCCTCCGGTCCAGTTTAAGAACCCATTGTGGCCCTCGAGTCAAAAAGTTTGCCCACCCTTGTCCTAGACACAACCAGCGTCCGCAGCACGGAGGGAGCTCTCTGCTTTATGACCTCGAAGTTTATGAACATTCCCTAGACAGTTCGCTCATTTTGTCTTATTCATCCCAAAGCCACGCAGTGGTAGTTTTCATTCACTTTAAGTGAAGGAGATATTTAAAATGTCCATTTCTATTGTTTTCATTGCTTTCCATTTCCATAGGTAACATGGGAACCAGCCAAAGAAAAAATGATGTTGTATCCATATCAGACTCATTTTATATTAAATTGTGATCAACTATTCATTACAACACTCTTATTAGGAAAACAGGAAATGTGTCTATTATTTTTATTATTATAACCTTAGTTTATTTTTTAACACTTTAAGCTAGCTAGCTACATAGTATATTATAGAATAAGAGGTAAATTATTTAAACTTTTATTAACACCACTCCAATATAGTGTTAGTGAAAATTGAGACCATATTTTAGCACTTAGCTTTCTTATGCTAATTATAAATATAGAACTATCTTTACATTCGACCTCGAAAAGTATAAAAGAATATAGTCATTAAAAATATCTGAAAAAGCTAAATCAGCATGTGAGCTGTAAAAATTAGTATGTGTTAGAGGAGCATTGTATAGAATGTTTAATTGTATAAAATGTTAAATTTACTCTCAGTAGTGAAAAATAACTTTTAGTTGAACCAATTCATTTTTTTCTGGCATATATGTCACAACTGCTAATAACTTTGGTATCTACACTCACAAAATGATATTCTGCTTTGCCAAAAGGAAAAAGTACAATGCATCTATTATGGCCTATTTTATTGCTAACACGGAATAAATGTCTAACGTTAATTGTATTGAGAAAAATGTTCTTAAAATAAAGGTTTTGGTGATTTAAGTGCCGGTAAAACTTCTGTGTAGAAATACATGCTTTTTTTATGAGTAACGATTTTAGGACAGTGATTTATCACTAGTATGCGTAGATTACTTGTGTATGATGCATAATTTATTAGCACATGCTAAGTGATAACGCTTTTTATTCTTGGGATGGAACTTATGAAATTTGATTGTCCATTCAATAATATTAGAAGTGAAATCTTCAATTCTATTATGCATTAGAATCTTGTGGTGTGCCAGTATTTGAGAATGCCAGAGCCAGAAGTGATGGCACGTGGTTTAAGGTCAATGACAGGTTGGAATATGAATGCCAGGATGGATATAAAAACCGAGATGGACACACCGTAGGCTCCATAGTGTGTGGTGACAATGGTTGGTCTGATACACCCACCTGTCAGGGTAAGTACGGATTTTCAGGATCATCGAAATAAACAAAATGTGTGTAAAGCATATCATTGTTTTGTCATTCTAAATGCAACCACTTATATTATGTGAACTTAGATACTCGTGACCCAGGTGATATGTTTTACAACTTCCTGGGCAGTTTTCTCCCGAGTTGGTTCTTGCCACCTCCCAGCTGAGTGTTCATTCCTGCAGGTCCCTAGAGGACTCCCTTACTTCCGGATTGTGGAGAGTTCTGAGGACAGTTACACTAATCTCTTGCATGTCTGCCAGACCACTGAGTATAATTAGGCTGACATGTACTTTTAACGATTTACTAAAAAGTCTATGTTGTTGCTTTTTAGCAATGAATTGTTCTACCCCACCCAGCTATGGCAGTGCCATCCTCACAAGCCAGAAGAAGAACTCATACAAGTCAGGAGAACAAGTGGCTTATAGATGTCCAGAACATTACCAAATGGATGGATCCAATGTTGTAGAGTGCAGGGACGGCATTTGGATAGGAACACCCACATGCAAAGGTATTTTGGTGAATGGCTTCTCCCATCATTAAAAATAGACACAGGTTCTGGTGAGGCCACATGAAGGAAGGTTTATGCCTCAACAGAGTGGAATGGGATGTGCACTCAGTGCTGGGCATTGGGGCCCCAGAGCCCTCAGAGTGTGACCCCGGAAACAGCCGTGTCAGCATCACTGGGGAATCGGTAGAAAGGCAAATGCAAACTCACAGGCTCACTCAGACTCAGCATCAGAAGCTCAGGGGTGTGACCCTGAAACCGTTGTAGCAATTCCCAGCGGGCTCTACGCCCACTTTTGTGGGGAACCGTAGCTTCAGCCTCTTATTACTTTATATCCACCCGAGTCTCCCCAATGAACTGCACAGTGCTCACTGCAGTGCCCTTAAGCACTCACATTATGGGAGTATTTTTAGGAAACTGTACATATATTGTACTCTTAGTTTTCCTCAGTTTCTGTGTGGATATCTTAAGTGATCATCTTCTTTAGCCATGCGATATTCCTCAAAGCATGTCAATACGTGACTTACTCTCTAAGAACCTGGCTACTCTGCTCATTTCCTAAGGGCCTGAAATCCCAATTCAAAATCATGATGTTTGGGATCCACATTTGGCTGCCAAATAATATGTTTATTTTGTGTTTCTTGGGTTTATAAATTCACTTTGATTTTATATCATCTATGATTATTTTACTAAAGTTAAAGAAAATTTTTCAGAAAAACCATCTTTTTTATTTTGAAAAATGTTTTTAAATTTTTATTGAAAATATTGGGCTGCCATTGGTTAATAAATGGTGCTGGTATATTTGGACAGACACAAGCAAAAAAATGTTTTGGGGTAGGAAAGGGTGTAGAAGAGCTGCTAGCCTTTGGTATCTTGGCAACAGTTCCCACTCAAGGCTTGTTTTTAAAGAATAAAGCTGGTGTGGGAGCCTTTACACAGAAGAGGTTATTCAGGGTCTGGATGGAGAAGGCCTCTTCTAGTCTCTCTACTAAGTGATTGGTGTTTAAAGACCTGTTCCCATATGACTGATTAATCTGAATGTTTCCAGTGCTGGGTGTGCCCTGGGATCTTGGAATTTGTTGTTTCCTGGCAGGTCTTTCCTCAGTAGTTGTGCTCTGCCCATTCTCAGGGGGTTCCGCCCTCCACTCCAGGGGGATGTAGTTACCAAAGAATCTAGGATCGCCATGCAGGTTGGTAGAGCTCTCTCCCCCATTCCAGGGCTCTTTCCTCTCTGGTTATGGACAGTCAGAGTCTGGCGGTGTCGGCCTCCTTGGGAACAGCGCCTTCGTTTCTCCTGTTCAGTGGGACTGACACATGTGCTTGGGTTTTCCCTTCCTGGGCTGTGATCTGGGAAGTTCCCACCTCCCAGCAAAGCCCTGGTGAGAATGGAGAGCCCATCAGTAACCCTATGTCTCAGGAACCATAGTTAGGCACTGACTGTGTCCATTTGCCTCACAAGGTCATGTTCATAGATTTGGCTCCGTTTCCTCATTGTGTCTGTGGCTGGCACTCTCTTCATTGTTCTTTCTGTGTGTTTATCCATTTCAGTGCATATTTTCAATGAAACACCGTTTGACTCTGTTCTTTTCTCTAGTGTTTGGTTTCTAGTTGATTCCTGCTCAGATGTTTCTGTTTTTCAGTTGGTTTTTTCTTTATCAGCATGAATGGGGTGTAACTGAAAATGGGAATTGCATATGTTTAATGCGGACAGCTTGCTATTTTGATATAAGCACACGTGGTGACATGACCACCAGATGGAGCTGCGTAGCACATCCATCACCTCACATAGGTGCCAGTGCTTCCCATGGGGTGAGAACACTTAAGCTCCACCCTCTTAGCAATACTGACACCCAATCAGGCACAGGAAGGGGCCTGTAGCTAGGAGAGCTGTGGCAGGCTGCGGACTTGCAGATTCATCAGGCAAACCGATTTTTAATAATTTCTTAGAAGGCATCCTGAGTGTTTTAAATCTGGCTTAGTTCCCCCAAATGTTTCTAACATCTAGAGTTAATGCTTTTGGAAACTCATAACCTATTTTCTCCGACACAATGCTTTGTATGATTAGGAATTTTCCAGGTTTTCATTGACAAATAGCCCTTTTTTCTTACATTGTAATGCTGTGTGAGTCCTTAGGAAACTGTTTCCTGACCATATGCTTACCGTTTCCTTATGCTCTCTTCCTTTTAGAAATATGTTTAAAATCGAAGGCAAATATTGAGAATGGATTTATTGCTGAGTCTGAGTCTACATATCCCTTGAATAAGAAAACAAAATATAAGTGCAAACAAGGTTATGTCACAGAAGATGGTCAGACATCCGGGTCTATTACATGTCTCCAGAATGGATGGTCAGCTCAACCCAGATGCATTAGTAAGTCATTCATGACTGTTGTGTCTATTATTTTACTGGCTGTTGAACAAACCTTTACTTTAACTGATTTCTTTTTCTTGGGGTGTCAGAAGCTGAAGTGGCTCTATTTGAAAAAGCTAAATAAAATGTTTTGAGAAAATATATGCAATTTTTTTTGTCTTTTACAATGAATTACTAGTAGGGTAGACATGAGTTCATCTTTCAGTTCAAAGTTTATCCCCTGTAAATCATCCTGCGATTTGCAAACTGCCTACGGGCCTGTGTGGATTCCGCTGTAAGCTCATCCGTTTTGAGCTGAGATCCTGCCCTGTTTACCTGTTTGCAGGTGATCAGACTTTCCTCTCAGAGTCTCAGTTCCTAGACATAAAAGTTAGGTTTGTAAGTGAAATGTGGGCTCACAGGACACAGGTTAGAGGAATGTCACTTGTGTGATTTATGTGTTCGGTGCTGCAGGGGAGCTCCTCTTCTGAGCAGCCACTTCCTCCAGGAAGCCCACAGGGATGTGCAGTGAGTGGAGACTGTGAGATGCTCCTAGACACAACCAGAGTCCGCGGCAGGGAGAGAGCTCTCTGCTTTATGACCTTGAAATTTATGAACATTTGATCAAAAAGTATAAAAGAATATACATATACTGTATATGATGCATCATTTATTAGCACAAGCTAAGTGATACTTTTTTTATTGGAATGGAACTTATGTAATTAAATTGTCCATTAATAATATTAGAAATGAAATATTTAATTCTACTATGCATTAGAATCTTGTGATATGCCAATATTTGAGAATGTGAGAGCCAAGAGTTAAGGCATGTGGTTAAAGCTCAATGACACGTCAGCCTATGAATGCCAGCCTGGGCAACTAAAGGAGTTCCTTTTTCCTGCTTTTTTCTACACCTGTTATATGGGTTGAAATACTTACCATGATCACTCAGTAGCTATTGCACACTAAAAGCATTTATGGGTATTAAAGGAAAGACTGTTTAAGAAAAACTAAACCGTATGCTACAGAAGGTGGGAAGATTGATTAAAAAAAACAAAAAGATATCAGTTCTTACATTTTTAAAGTATTGTTTTCCATTTCATGGACTCCCTTTAGTGAAAAAGCTGTACCCTTTGCAATTCATTTTTAAAATCAATGTAGATAAATTTTCAATTCTGAGAATCATTAGGAAAAGGAGGATGTTTTATATAAATACATGGATCCTGTATCCAAGGCCTACAGTCTTTCTCAAATACTCATACTCTTGGTATTAGTATGTTTCCTACATAAATACATACATTACCTCTTGAAATCACAAATTGTGTTTTCCTTCAAATGATAACATGATATCATTATAATAGTATATTTTAGTAAAAGCCAGTGATATATCCACAGTTAAAAATACATCAGACTAAAGGTTTCTAACATATATTTAGAGGTTTTGAATGATAGGCAAAAGGATGTGTAAGGAAATCTATTCTTCATGTTATAGTACTTATCCAGGCCAGAACCACACTGATTCAGAGAGTTGTCACATGATACTTCACTGATCCACACACTGATGGTAAAGTTTAGTATTGCCAGAATGATATTTTCTCAGTAGGATTCTATATGATATGGCATTAGAAACACAATGGTCACCTTTATTTTGCTCTAGAACTTTGTGATTTGCCAATATTTGAGAATGCCACAGCCATAATCACTGGAAAACCATTGCTACCCAATGACACGCTGGACTACCAGTGCCTGGATGGCTATGAAAACAGAGATGGAAATGCCCTGGGTTCCATGCTGTGTAGCGAGGACGGCTGGCTCCACTTGCCAACCTGCTTTAGTAAGTATTTTGAATCCATCATTTCCTTTTCCAAGAGCTGAAAAGTCTACATGTATGGAGTCCTCGCTTGAGTGTGGGGATCTAGGGCATTTTGAACCACATGGTGGTTACAAGGTTTAAAATGCAAAAGAGGGACAATACTTCCTGGGCAGCTTTACATGAATAGTTTCCAATAAAAGTACAATTTGTTCTTCAACAGTCAAAATGCTCTTTTTCAGAATCTGCAGACAAGTGTGGGCCTCCTCCAGCGATTAGCAATGGAGACATCACCTCCCTCCTATTGGAAGGGTACCCTCCAGGGTCAAGAGTGGAATACCAATGCCAGGCCTACTATGAACTCCGGGGTCCTAGATATGTAACCTGTAGTTATGCAAAGTGGTCTGAAGTCCCGAGATGCATAGGTAAGTTCTCAAGATTCTTCTGGATCCTGAGACCATGAGGGTGATGTTTATGAGCTGGTGTGTGGTCTACTAGTCATGCAGTCAGAGTGTAGAACTGTGCTCACCAACAGCTCTCCTGCTCAATGTTTCACATTCCGAGACTCGTGTGTAGAGCTGTGAGCTTGGAGAATCCCTATGTGAACAATGATAAAGGTCCTTTAAACAGGAACATTGGGAGAGGCTAATTCTGATACATTAACTGACCGCACAGTTGACCCTACCTGACTCATCCTCTCCTGTGTATGTGTCCTCTTCTGCGGGACATTACAGCAAACCCAGTAAGTCCAGGACCGGAAATCAAAGTTAATATACCCAAGTCAGAATAGTCTAGAACAGTGGTCGGCAAACTCACCAGTCAACAGAGCCAAATATCAACAGTACAATGATTGAAATTTCTTTTGAGAGCCAAATTTTTTAAACTTAAACTATATAAGTAGGTACATTGTTATTAACTTAACTACGGTATGCCTGCGCCGAGTCTCCCGTCGCCAGACCGACCAACACCCCCCACTTCTTCTAACGCCACTTCTTCAAAATAGACTCGCCCAGGCCGAGAACTGACTTCTGTGCATGGGCTATAAAGTGTCAATCACACTGTACATGCGCGCCTGCACATGGTATTTTGTGGAAGAGCCACACTCAAGCGGCCAAAAAGCTGCATGTGGCTCGTGAGCCGCGGTTTGCCGACCACTGGTCTAGAAATAGCTCCAAACTAGGTTATATGGAAAAGAAAGTATTGTATTTCCAAGGTAAGTTCTAAATCTCAAGTTTAGATGATTGCATAGTTGGACAAGTCTAAGATATGTCTCCCAGCACAAGCAAGACTTGTTCCTCCCACAAAGAATAGGAAGCAATGTCCATTTTCTGGGGACATAAAATCAGTTCTGTGACAGAGGTAAGACTTTACTTGAGTCATGGAATTGAAATTTGCTGAGAGCACTTAAGATTATCAAAGGCAACATCCAACATCGTGTAAAAAAATTACATAGACATATGGTGTATTAAAGCAAGGAGGTAAATTTTTGCTTGGATTAGTAAAGTTAAGAAGGAAAGATCAGAAAAAGTGTTTTGACAGGTATGTAGAACCCACATAATATATCCTTTTGGATGTAAAAAGCATCTGCATGTACTGAGGAACATTTGAAAAATTTTTGGATATTAGGCATCATATGTGTTATTCTATGATGTTTCATCATGTAATAGTTAATGGGATGTGTTGGAACAGAACTTTTAGCTATGTCTAAGGCCTTATCAATGTCAGTGATAGCTAAACTAGAATACAAAACACTTGGGTCAAGAGAGATAGGAGTCCATGATATCTTCAAAATTTCATATATGATTAGATAAAGATGTCTTACAAATATATGATGGAATATTACTCAGCCAGAAGATGAAATACTGTCGTTTGTGACATCATGGATAGACCTTGAGAATATCATGCGAAGTGAAATAAGTTTGGCAGACAAATTTGAACTATTGATTTCACTTATATGTGGGATATAAAATTGAAATAAACGGATAAAAAAAAACAGACAAAAACTCATAGGCACAGACAACAATATGGTGATTATCAGAGAGAAGGGGGAGGGGTAGTAGAACGTAAAGAGGGTCAAACATATGGTGATGGAGGATGAATTGACTTCAGGTGGTGGGCACACAAAGCAATATACAGATGCTATTTCATAGAATTGAACATTTGAAGCCCATATGTAATATTATTAATCAACTAGAGGCCAGTGCACAAATTTGTGCACCAGTGCATATAGAGATGTATTTATGCATATATGTCTATGTAGTGGTATTTTGTTAGAAGATGGTTCATTAGAAATTTTGTTATTTTCCATGGTTCTCTTTCCCAATTTTGTGGGCATAAGAGAAAAATATTAGCATTGTTTAACCCAGTGGAAAGTGACTAAACTGGGAGCATTTGTAGCCACTGCCAGTTGAGTGGGAAGTGGACAAGGAAGAACCACGGCCACCATGGAGCAGGCTCCCATGTCCTCTGGACAGGAAGTCACCTTGTGGATGCCCCACATCGCAGAGACAGAGAGCCAAGGCCCTGGGGTCACACTGCCGGGTCCACACTCATCGTCCACCTGATGAGCGCTGTGACCTTGGACAGGTGTGCCTGACCTTCCGTCCCCTCAGCTTCCTGGTGTGTGAGGAGGAGCAGCTGCCCGCTGAGGAGCTGTGAGGGCCCACGGACCTGGGTGGAGAACAGGACTCGGCCCACATTGATGATGTACATGAGCTCTTTCCATTACTTCATCCTCTAAGCTAGTCATTGGGTTGAGGGTTTATTTGTTTATAAAAGGAAAGATTACTAATTGTTTTCATTATTTCTTCTACTTTCAGATCCATGTGTAATTTCAGAAGAAATCATGAATGAAAAGAACATACAGTTAAAAAGGAAAGATGACAAACGCTATTATGTAAAAACAGGGGATATCATTGAATTTATGTGCAAATCGGGACGCAAGGCGGTGACGTCAGAGGAGTCATTTCAAGCCATGTGTCGGGAAGGGGCAGTGGAGTTCCCCAGATGTGAATGAGGAAGCCCTGTGGCCCCAAATATGTGGCCAGTCCCACCTACTGCTCTTCCTGCCTGAAAGCTTGCCAGTCTTCTGGCATTTCCTGCTCTTTCCTGTGGAAGATATTTGTCTAATACTTAGTTTTATGTTCTTTTTTTTAAAGCATCAGATGCATGTGTAGTATCAGAAGAAATCATGAGAATACATAACATACAGTTAAGATGGTTAGATGCGAGAAAAGATTATTTTACAACGGAAGATTATATTGAATTTGTGTGTCAACCTAGCTGTAGTGAAGTGCCACCACCATCTGCACTCCAAGTACAATGTCAAGAAGGAGAACTGGAGTATCCCACTTATGAACAAGATGATAGTAATATGCCAGGCATACCATCAGATGGTGATGATGATGATGATGATGATGATGATGATGACGACGATGACAATGAATAAAAAATTCATTCAATTCACTCAGAATTTCTTATTTTGAATCCAATTCTTCTCAATTTACTTTTCTGATTTGGTTTAACTCATTTTTATTCATTAGTCAGAATTTGTGTTCAATACTATGTGGAAGATGTCATTGTAATCTGAGACCAACCAACAGATCACTTCTATATGCATCTCAAATATGACAAACCAAAATGCTACGTGGGGGCATTTTGAGACTCTTATTTCACAGGAAAGGGGGAAAAATGCATGTCAACATCTTCACCTTAAAATTACTTCACAAACATGTGAAAAGCAAACTATGTCATATCCATGTTGGCAATAGATGGTAGAGGTTATTACTTAGTTTTTCTTATCTATCCGTAGCTCACTATACCCCTAAAATGATGAAATAAAACATTGTCTACATATTCATCTAGCAAACAAGTCATAAAGAGGTATTAGATTCTAATCAGGGGCATAGCTATTGTAACATGGACATGAAAGCTGATAAAAATAAAATATCGAGTATAAACACAACACATTCACCTAGTGTGCTGGGAAAAGTGAGCCACCATTCACAGAACAAAACTAGCAGGAAGCATAATGAAACACCTACTATAACTACAGTTCAATCTATAATAATAAAAGCTTAATATGCTAATTAGAATATACGTCCTTCTGGATGACCCTCTGGATGGAACCCGGGTCCCAGATGCCAGAGGGAAGCTGGTGCTGGGAGCCAGAGGAAGGAAGGCCTACTTTTGCATGAATTTCATGAATTGGGCCTCTAGTCTATATATATAAAGAAGTAATATGAAAATGAGGTCGAGACTCCATAACGGTCATGACCAGCTCAGGAGGAGGGGCTGGGTGTGGCCCTGAACCTGAGAGAACACACGCAGGTGCAGCCCAGAGCCTGAGAGATCAACACAGAGGGTGGCCTGCTGTGAGCCTCTGTGGTGCGGGTAGGGACAGGCCCCCAGTGGACGGATGGACACACACACACACACACACACACACACTCACACTCACACACACATGGGGCGCCAGCTCATAACTGGGTTTTCTCTTTATTCAATTTTACTTCTCCTTCTTTCTTATTGGCTTGTCATTGTAATTTAATATCAGTAATTACTATTGATGGATGTACTCATGCCATTTGCCAATTGCTTCGAATTTGGCCCATGGACTCTATAGAATCCTCTGCATTCTTTTACATTAGTCTATGCTTTTAGCATTGCATTTTACACAATTTGTTGGTGGTTAGATCTCGCTTTTTAGTGGTTGGTCTAGGATTTATAATATCCTTTTTTGGCCATCAAATTGTAGTTGATTGTTAATGAGAACTGAGGGGTCTTGCAAGCCTCTCTGGGCTTTGATATTTACTGAGTGATCCATGAATTTCACCTCCGGCAGTTTACCCCGACCATCTGCCCACATCATCATGAAAGAGTTCTTTATACTCCTCAGCATGTATTCTTACTTTTCATATGTGTTGAATTTAAATTAAGATATTCTTGTGGATCAAAGGTGATATATGTTAAAGATAGAGGAATAGGAGCATACAAGAATTGAACCCAATGACCACACCTATTAGATCTAAATGGAACTGTAGTTATGGTAGGTGTTTAACTGTGCTTCCTGCCAGTCTTTGTTCTGTAAACATTGGCTCACTTTTCACACCACACTGGGTGAATGCGTTCTACGTGTTTATACTCGGTATTTTATTTTTATCAGCTTTTACGCCCGTGTTACAATAGCTATGCCCCTGATTAGAATCTAATAACTCTTTATGACCAGTTTGAATTATTGTATGTGCTAGATGGATAGTAGATGTTGCATTTCATCATTTAGGGGGTATAGTGAGCCATGGATAGATAAGCAAACCTAAGTAATAACCTCTACCATCTACTGCCAACATGAGTGTGACACAGTTTGGTTTTGACATGTTTGTGGAGTAATTTTAAGGTGAAGATGGAGACAAGCATTTTTTATTTTCTTCCTCTGAAATTAGTCTCAAAACGCCCCCACAGCTGTGGAGAAGCTTTGAGAAAGTTGGGAGGGTGGTGGGGGAAGCAGGGAGGGGAGAGATGGCATCTACTTTCTGGCCAGAGACGTGTCATGAACAGAACACAGAGCGTGTTGTTGGTTTGTCACAGTTTAATGAGATGCTTATGAGAAGTGGTCCGTTGGTCTCAGATTACAATGACATCTCCCACATGGCATTTAACAGGAATTGTGATTAATGAATAAAAGTGAGTTACACCCAACTAGAAAAATAAATTGAGAAGGATTAGATTAATATTAAAAATTCTGAATGAAGGCACATATTTTAATGTGAAAACTGCCACATAGCTCTCATTTTATACACAAGTGGGAAACTCCATTTTTCCTTCTCGACATTGTGCTCGGAATGCAGATGCTGGTGACACTCTACGATAGGGAGGTCGACACACAAATTCAACATAATCATTTGTTCCAGAATAAATTTTTTTCGCATCTGACCATTTCAACTGTATGTTATGTTCTTTCATGATTTCTTCTGATATTACACATGCATCTGAATGTTTAAAGAAAGGAACATAAAACTTTAGGCAGTATACAAATATTTTCCACAGAACTTTACACTTTTATGTAGAATATTCTACACAGATCCAGGAATTTATTCTCAAACCCTTTTCCAAAACAATTCATTGAAAATTTATCACGTTGGTATAACTCATTTTAAACTATCGATGACGTAAAAATGAGGTACTCTGTGGAATGTGTGGTTATTGCAGGTTATAATCAACATTCACAATGTCACCTATGCTATGAAGGACTTTCATTAAAGAATCCTTGAAGGGGGTGGTGGAGGTGGATGAGGATGGAGGGGGCATAAGTGGTAAAGGGGGAAAATAAATTAAAATAAAGAAAAATGATAGTTTCTTGCAGTGGATGCTCAAGAATTTTTCAGACTTTATGCGCTCAGACATGACTATTTGGTAGTCAGCAGAATAGGTGATAGTCCATGCAAGTTCTGTTGTAAACAGCAAACATGGCATTCATTACACGGATTTCCCAGAGTCCACGAGGATATTAAAGGACTTACCTAAGCATTTGGGTGGCTCAGACCACTGTCCATCGTGGCATGTTATTCTCCTGTTTCCCTCAAGTTGATAGTAGGCCTGGCATTGATACTCCACTGAAGACCCGGGAGCGTAGAATGGTGATGGGAATGTGGTAATGTCTCCATTGTCAATAGAAGGTGGGGGCCCACATTTTTCTTTGGACTCTAAGAGACAAAAACCATCTGACAGAACACCAAGGAACGTACAAATCCTGCACAATATGTAATAAGAGGACATGTGAGGGTCTGAGGAGAGAAAAGATTTGTTGGAGAAATTCTAATAATCTAAAGTGAGAATCACAATGTTGCAGCCCTTCCATTGGTGCTACAGTGAGACTCACATAAGCCAGAAAGAAATACACGAGCCGAAACCGGTTTGGCTCATTGGATAGAGCGTCGGCCTGTGGACTGAAAGGTCCCAGGTTCGATTCTGGTCAAGGGCATGTACCTGGGTTGCGGGCATATCCCCAGTAGGAGATGTGCACGAGGTGGCTGATCTATGTTTCTCTCTCATCGATGTTTCTAACTCTCTATGTCTCTCCCTTCCTCTCTGTAAAAATCAATAAAATATATTTTTTAAAAAAAGAAATACACGAGCTTTGCCCCGTTGTGGTGAAAATATGGGCAGACACATAGTTCACGGTCACAGAGGGTCCTTGTCCTCTCATTCAACCTACCACAGGTTCCCTTGGGACTCTACGTATTTAATCTTTATTTTCTTTTTAAATTTTTAAAATCGAGTTTTAGATAGATAGATAGATAGATGGAGAGAGAGAGAGAGAGAGAGAGAGAGAGAGAGAGAGAGAGAGAGATTGGCTGCCTCATCATGCCTCCTACTGGGGATTAAGTCCACAACCCCAGCATGTGCCCTGACTGGGATCCAACCCGTGACCTTTAGGTACATAAGATGACACTCAAGCAAATGAGCCACACCAGCCAGGGCTACAGCTATTTCTTTCTTTTTCTTTTTCTAAATATATTTTTATTGATTTCAGAGAGGAAGGGAGAGAAAGAGAGAGAGAGAGAGAGAGAGAGAGAGAGAGAGAGAGAGAGAAACATCAATGATGAGAGAGAATCATTGATTGGCTGCCTCCTTGAACGCCCCCTACTGGGAATCGAGCCCGCAACCCAGGCATATGCCCTTGACTGGAATCAAAGCCAGGACCCTTCCGTCTGCAGGCTGGTGCTCTATCCACTGAGCAACACCAGCCAGGGCCACAGCGATTTCTTTATGAAATGAAGAAGGAGACAGAATCCCAGAGGACAGCGTTCTACTAACTGTTGCGGCTGCATGTAGGAGGCGTGGACCAGCCGCGTTCTGCACACGTGATGACTTCCTGGTCATTGGCGAGGCTGTAGCCCTTGTCACAGATGATCTGTACGGTGTCCCCTTCCTGGTGCGTTCGCCCTGAAGATGTGGAACGCCCATTTTCCACCCAGGGGAAGAAGCACTGTCCTGCAAGCCAAGGATGACTAAGATGAATCCTGCATCAGGTCAGAAATCAAGTGCAAAAAGCACTTCCTTAAAAATCAGTTCATGCCAGTGAACATATGAGTGTGTGCTATCCGTCAATCATGACTTCTATGCAAAGCACATTTTGACGTTTGTGACTGGTTTTTCTCATTCCATTGACGCAATCGCATCTTAGGCTTCCATCTCCTGGGCTCGCCTCCGCCCTTTTTCTCTCTCCTAGTTGTTCTCCTCGCGTCTCTGCCCTCATTGAGAGAGGAAGACAGGTGTGACTCACAAGCATGTGACTAAGAAAAGCCAGGCAAAGGAAGGAAACTCGTAAAAATGCTCCTTGAATATCCGAAGGGACAGCATATGGTGGACAGAGGTTACCTGTCAAAAATGAACTCCTCCGAGAAACATCTGTGTTCTTACAATGACCAAGTGAGCGCGTTTAAATTAAATATTAGCAGTTGAAATGGCCGAGCATTGGTATTTGAAACGAAAAAAAATGTAGATGTTTCATCAAGTTTGTATCTTATTTTTTGCTGAGTTGATTTCTGAAGAGTGACATATCTTACCTTCACTGGCTCCACCACCCCTGACACGGTAATTGTTCAGATTCTGTGATCCCTCCTGCAGGCCCTCTCCCCGCCCCCTTCACTGAGTCCACCGAGTAATTCATCGGGGAATGGGGGTTGGGGGGCATTTACTCACTGATACACCTCGGAGCTGGCGACCATCCTCCCTCCGTGCAGTTTATCTGAGTCCAGAGTGACTGGAAGGGAGACACAAAGCTGTGATCACAGGAGTAGTAGAAGTATTTCCCTGTGGCGACCGGGAAGGTGGGCTTATATCTGTTTTCCTCATATATGTTTCCATGTTTTATTTCTGGGAAATCACAAGTTCTTCCTGAAGGAAAAAAATGTAGGATCCGGGATGAACGAACAATTCTCCTTTATCACCACCCATTACAACTTAATGACCTGTTGTAAGTTAATCACCTCTTCAAAGGCCTTATCTCCACACAGTTACATGCTGAGGTCTAGGTGTTTGAACTTCAATCCAACCCGTGCCAACTAAATACACAGAGGTGTTTGCGTCCACACAAAAGGTTTGGCCCCTAAGTGGGATCCTTTCCCCTGACAAACACTGGTGCAACTCCAATTACAGAGCGTTTAAAAGTGGACTGGTAGCCATCTTTAAAAAAATATATGTTTGTATTGATTTTAGAGAGCAGAAAGGGGAGGGAGAAAGAGATAGAAACATCAATAATGAGAGAGAATCATGGATCAGCTGCCTCCTGCACGCCCCACACTGGGGATCGAGGCCGCAACCCAGGCCTGTGCCCTGAGCAGGAATCAAGCTGTGACCTCCTGTTCATGGGACGCTGCTCAGTCAACCGGCCAGCTACTCAATATATATATATTTTTTGACTGATTTTTTAGAGAAAGATGAAAGGGGAGGGATATTTAGAGAGAAACATTGATATGGGCCATTGAGCCCCAAACCCGGGCATGTGCCCTGACCGGGAATCGAACCTGCAAACTTTCAGTGCACGGGATGATGCCCAATGAACAGAGCCACACCAGGGCTCAAGGGTGACTTTTAGAAAGAGCTCCTTAATGAAGAACATTGTCCAACTGGGTAGGCAGCTTTGCTGTGTGATTGTTATGGTGGTGGCCAGGGAAGGAAGTTGCCCAAATGTAAACTGACCCAACAGACACAAGTTGGCATGCAGCAAGTCATGTAAATGAATTCCTCTTGTAAACTAAGGAAAAGCAATGATTGCAAGTAGCAGAAGAAGTATTCTAAGGCACGCTGCTAGAGTCTCATTTGCAGGAACTCAGGAATAAGAGAATTTGATTTTAGGAAAATAAGGGATGTTAAATGATAGAATAGTGAAGATACAATATCCAGAAGGATGGTAAAGGGAGGAGGAAATGTCATTGTGAAAATAAAATCTTAAAGATTATAAGTGCAATGAATGCTATTAGAACTAATGTACAAAATAAATTGCTTTTTAATTAAAGATAAGTTAAGGTGACTACCAATTATATTTGTTTTAAGATGCAATTGTTTAATACATAGGGTTGCATTGACACATAATAGAGACCACATATTATTCTAAAGAATGCACATCAGTGCACAATAGAGAGAATGCTATGAAATACATTAATTTATTTACTCAACACTTAACAGTGAACTCAGAAATCTAATAAAATTTATTGACATTTCATTGGAAATAAAAATGTATTTTACGTTTCGTTGAAACAGATATTTCTTTTTACCTGATGCTAATCTTATTGCAATACTAAGTCGATTGCAATGTTAATTACTTTTATAGGCTTTTTAAGGTTTAATTGAAATACAGTAAATGGCACAGACTCGACATGGCTGATTTCACGCGTTTTCACAACGCAATCTATAAAACAGTCACCACACATACAATTGTGACAATTGCCATAGTTCCCAAATGTGTATGAACACATTCAAATATTCCCGTAATCGGCATTGGGAGCCCTTTTGCTGTGGAACTCAGGGAGTAAAATTCAACATAATTGGTTGTATTTTCCTAAAAAAGTCATTATTCTCTGTTATGATCTCCCAATACAGACGATTCATTAAAAAAACAACAACCACAGACCCACAAAAGTAGATGTAACATGAAGTCCCAGGTAAGAGCACACGGCCTGGCCAGCTCTGTTTTCCACTCACCTTGTCCATGAGCCCAGGAGACCCACAGGGTGAGGATGACCTGGACTAGTAACTGCATGGCGGGCTCCCCCTGTGTGTTAGCACAGAGAGTCCAGCGCTGCTGTGTGTGGTTTTAACTCAGCTTCATGAGCCTTTACCAAGTGTGGCTCTGAATTTAAGTGACAGTACCGGGAAGCTGGTTCACTGAGGTCACTCGGTAGATATCAAAGTTTAAAGGCTTTTGCAATATCTGTAAATTTGCATGAATTTCACAATCATCTCCTGAGTTACTTCCTTGACATGGACTTGGACAGCGTTTCTTAGGGACCGTAATGGACTGGCTCCAAAAGTGATACAAAACTCGAATCTTTAAATGCTTCCTAAGGATGGGTGAGGTTCTTTCTCAACCAGGAGATTCACGTGGAAATAACTCCGACTGCATGTCCCTGTGACGGTCTCTCATCCTCTCGTTGCTCTCACCTGACTGTTGACCACGGATGATACATTTTTAATGTGATGGAGGTGATGTCGCCATTGCTAATCCCTGGAGGAGGCCCACACTTGTCTGAAGATTCTGAAAAAGAGCATTTTAAATGTTGAAGAGCAAATTGTAGTTTTGTTGAAAACTATTTCTATAAAGCTGCATAAGAAGTATTATCCTTATATTGCATTTTAACCCTTGTGTGTTAAACATGCCTTCCATCCCCACACTCAAGCAAGGACTCCATACATGTAGACTTTTCAATTCTTGGAAAAGGAAAAGCTGGAATCAAAAGACTTACTAAAACAGGTTGGCAAGTGGGACCAGCCGTCCTCACCACACACCATGGAACCCTTTTTGCTTCCATCTCTGTTTTCATAGCCATCCAGGCATTGGTAGTCCAACATGTCATTGGGTCGAAATGGTTTTCCAGTGATTATGGCTGTGGCATTCCCAAATATTGGCATGTCACAATGTTCTAAAGCAAAATAAAGGTGACCATTGTGTTTCTAATGCCATATCATGTAGAATCCAACTAAGAAAATCTCATCCTGGCAATACTAAGCTTTACCATCAGTGTGTGGATAAGTGATGTATCATCTGACAACTCTGATTCAGTGTGGTTCTGGCCTGGAAGAGTTATATAACATGAAGGATAGATTTCCTTACACATCCTTTTCTCCTACCATTCAATACCTCTAAATACAGGCTAGGAACCTTTGGTCTGACCCATTTTTAACTGTGATATGTCACTGGCTGTTACTAAATTACACTACTATCATGATATGATGCTATCATTTGAAGGACAACACCATTTGTGAATGTAAGAGGCAATGTATGTATTTACATAGCAGAAATACTAACACTAAGAGTGTGAGTCTTAGAGAAAGACTGTAGTCCTTGGATATATGACCCATGTGTTTATATAAAACACCCTCCTTTCCCTAATGATTCCCAGAACTGAAAGTTTATCCACACTGATTTTAAAAAGGAATTGCAAAGGGTACAGCTTTTTCACTAAAAGGAGTCTATGAAATGGAAAAAAATATTTAAAAATGTAAGAACTGATATCTCTTTGTGTGCTTTTTAAGTCAATTTGCCTACTTTCTATTGCATATAGTTTATTTTCCCTTGAAAACAGTCTTATTTTTTTTAATATCTATAAATGTTCTTAGTCTGAGTGAGTTAATAGTAAGTATTACAACCCGTGTACCGGGTGTAGGGAAAGCAGGATAAATGGGCTCCTTTAGGTGCTCAGGCTGTTGTTTTGCACAGGGCTCAGTAGATTCCTGAATTCCCAGTTCAAGTCAATGATCACTGCTTTGATACACACATGTAAGAACATTCCAATGAAAGATCAGCTGTATTATATCCTGATGTATAATACCATGTCCATAACAATTATTCTCTCATTTCTAAATGCCCACAGAACGACTTATTGAAACCTGTGTACTTAACATGTAAAAGCCAGATATGACTGCATATGAGAATCTTCATTTATAACCTCATAGCATGAATACATGCAATCATAGGTGAAGTGGTTGACATTGGGCAAGCAGTGTATTTATTTTTAATTTAAATGACATTTTCAATGCATCTTCAGTGAACACATACAGTATGTGATCTTAATCTGTTTCATTTAACAGTATTTCACAATATTCATGCCTGATTGCTCACTGTCACTGACTGCAATAAATTAACGACCTACTCGTTATCAAAAATTTAAAACTTTGCACACACATTTGGAACAGGAAACGAAGTTGGCCTTTGTTTTAAAGCCAAGAAGACTTGGCACATTCACCTTGAAAGTTGACACGTTAAACTTTCCACAGCGATACATCTGGTTTTAGAAAATCACAAATGGACTGGACATCAGGGAGGTTCACTTACTGATGCAGCTGGGAGGCGAGGACCAGCCATGCTCCGTACAGGTCACTGTGCTCTGTGGGTCTGAGAGACTGTAGCCGGGATCGCAATCAATTTTGATAGACTGTCCCTGTAAC